TTGCAATGTAGTATAAAACATAGATAGAATTAGATTATCTATTGTTTACTAGAAATAAATCCCAATCTAAAAATCATAAAATCTGAAATATCCCAGATGCATTATGTGGATGTGCGTTCAGTCAGATACTTAAGACAAATACAAGTTATGTCGCTTTTCATGATGCCTTTAACAACTGTTTTAAGATGTCAATTTTTAACCAGTTTATTTTACACAAAGGCACACGAATCAGACAGTTGATAAAAGGTATAAAAGTGAAAATTGAATGCTAAAAGTGTGTCTGAATAAAATACTTAATGGATGTAACAGTTGCAATAATATTTCCTATGCTCACAAATTAAGACTCAAATTCTTTGCTTTACATTGATACATGTGATACTTGAGACAATTTTGATACAAAAAAAAAAATGAAAATTGAAATTTTGTAGTACAGTTTTGCATTGCATGACGCCCTAAACCAAAATAAATGAAATCGTTTCTGAAAGACGAACATAGCTTCACTCCCAATACAAATTCGGTTTGGTTATGAATGTCCCTCTCATTCATATCTTGGATAAATACTCGACATTTGAAGAAATGTTTCAACAGTGGACTTTTGAACTATCTCTAGGATTTCAATATTCAGCTACGTAAGTACAATTATACGGCATATTTTTTTTTTTTTACAAAACCAAAGTACGGTTATAAGGCTGTGATAGTGCACATTTTGTAAAGATTGTTTTTATTCAAATGGCCGTAGTTCATGTGAAATAAATTTAGAAAAATAACGCACACACAGAGCAGAGGGTCTGAATGAGGATTGTTTCATTTTCGTTTTCTTTTTATTTTTAGAGCATTTTTATTTCTATTCCTGATTATTTCACATTATTAAATTATATCACCCAATTATTTCCTATTCTTAAATGTTGTGGCCAATCTTTTTCTTCTATTTATGTTTTGACCCATAGTGTTTTTATTTTGTAAACCCCATCCAGCACCTCGTACAACACATTCAGTGTAACAATGGTGTTACTTCCTATGATTATTTCCCAATACAGGAACTATTACATTTGATAGAAACACACATTTCACACTTTGTACTATTTGTGCATTTGAAATTTTTAGTTGAATTCATATTTAAAGCTATCTTAAGGAAAACATACGCATAAAAATAACCATTTGTAAATTACCATTCCAATTTTTATGCTATTGAGGCGAATTATATATAGATATATTGTTTCCTACCTCCTGGTGGAAAAAAATAGGATACATGTAAGTAGGTAGGATAAATTATTTTATTGAAAAAAATAGTTTACTTAAACTGTATACATGATACTGGAGTTAGTGATGTATTATCAAAAATATTTTGACTTAACAATGCCCATTATTGTGTCAGACTGGGCATGATAATTTTGGTTGGTAGTGCAAGAGGGAACAAAAAAACAGCAGCAACATAAAACTGTACAGTTTGAACAGATTTCTTGGTGATATGCTAATATTTGCAAACAAGCTTCAGATAGATTCAATGGAATCAGTTATTAAAATGTGGGATATTAGAAACCTTTCCTTGATCGGTAAAATTGTAATTCTCAAATCACTTGCAATATCTAATCAAACTTATGTCATTTCATCTACTCATGTACCAACATCTTATGTAACTAAAGTACAACGTGATTGAAACAGCTTTTTATGGAATGGTGGTACTCCGAAAGTTAAATCAGAAGTTATTCAAAAGTCTCCTAGCGTCGGGGGACTGAAAGCCTTAAATTTTGAATTACAGCTGTTATCCTTTCGTATTATGTTGGTAAAAAGATTTCTGTCAGACCATGACTCCAAATGAAAACATGTTTCCCAAGCATTCTTCCCTCTATTTGATATACACGATTTATTTATGAGCAGATATGAATTTGAATTTTTAAATTTAAAAGCACCTCTTTTTTATAAAGAAGTCTTATCTGCTTGGAACCGTACAAGGAGATTTTAATCCGTTAGATGCATTTCATGTGAGAAAAGAATTCATTTGGCTCAACCCCTTAATCAAAGTTGACAATACGAGTATTGTTTACATATCTTGGTACATGAAAGGCATACAGTTCATCAATGATATTGTAGATGACAATGGCGAATTTTTGTCTCATGACGGTATTAACCAAAAATATAGCCTACATGTTACTTTTGTAGACATTCTATCAATTAAACTTGCTCTATCACGTGACTGGAAAGAGTTGTTAATACAGCAACACATGTCAAGTAACAGCAATTCATTTGGATTTGATTTTGAACATGAGAATAAAAAAGGCTATCAGTAAATTATTTGCTCAAGATGTTTATTCACTTTTTATCGATCAGGAAAATGTTTCTATTATTTCACAACAAAGGTGGAAAGAAAGTTTTAATATAGAAAGTAGTGATGAAAAATGGAAAAATATTTATTCACTGGCTTTTAAATATACTATAGAAAGCAAACTGCAAGCTTTCCAATACAAAATTTTACATAGTATAGTCTCTCATAATTATCTTCTTGAATAATATAAACTTTCTGATACTATTGAATGTAAAGAGATAGAAACTGTAGATCATACATTTTTGAATGCACAGGAAAAAACATACGGGGAGGGGTTGGGGGAGATTATAAACATTATTTAATATTTTTCTAATATAATTGTATATTTAATGAAATCCAAAATATTAAGATAGTATCATATACTGTATATTCACATCGAAGAATTTTTAATGTTTCTTAGTCGCATGATAACAATAACAATGTCATCAAATTTATTCACATATGTCTTGAAACAATGTATGTTTGCACTATAGTTTGAACACCAAAAAGATTAATAAAATTTTTTTTAAAAAGTTTATAAACTACAGCACTGATACAAGTTATAATAGGAGGTCCCAGTGCTAAACAATTAATAAATAGAAACAAATAATCTTGATCAGCATCACTAAAAATTTCTTGCGTTTCATCACTTAAAAAAAAAAGGTATTCTAAGAGGTCTCGGACGACCAAAAGGAATAAAGATGGGTGCAATCCTATCTTGTACATAGCAGACTTTTTGACTGCTTTCCAACTTATGTAATTTGTGCAGGCAAGCAAGTTTACTTTATCAGTGATAGATATGTTGCCGGTTGTCTGAAACGCCTGTTGCAAATATGATCAGCTCGTAAGGTGTTTGGCAGTGCTAACACTTGCTTTTGGACACGCATTTTCCCAAACATAATATAGCTGAGCCAGTATTGACAAGCAAATTAAATGCGCGCTTGGTTTTATACATCGTGTTTCGGCATTATCCTATGCAATGATCAATTAATAATTATATCGACAAGGCATCGTAACGGCTAAACCAATTACATAGTTAATGAAGGCTACAATCATGTTAATATGTTCATACTATCAACAATTAAATGTTTATAATTTTGCAACTGAGTGTGGTATTTGTTTTTTTTCTGATCTGCGAAAGCCAGTTTGGACAAATTAAACCATGAGTCACGTTACACAAATACAACAACTGACGATTTGTTCTATATAAGTAGGGATGTAGATTCCTTTTTATCGTTGTTAATTCTCACCTGATGAATAGCGATCAATTGAACCTTAAAATAATTTACCAACATTTTGATTTCTATCTCCTGATAAACATTACATAGTACCAATTTTACGCCACATATGCACAATTCGCCAAAAAAGATCCATTTATAGATGACCAAGGCCAAATATTTGTAATTTCAATACAAACGCTAGCTAATTAACAGGGGTGTGCTCCTTACATTTGAACTGCTAGAACAAAAAATCGACACTACATAGATTTTATGATCACCATCATTAATTGGTGGTCCGATACGATGTTTCTGGGTCTTAAATCCCTAACGACATGTCTAAGCAATCTTTGATCTTAGAATACCGGAATAGTTATCTGATATATACATTTCCCGATTGTGTCCTATATCCATTTGTAACATTTTGACTAAGTATGATCTTACATGGCAGCTAATGCATACCCTTTCGACGCACACGGTCGAGATCCTTTTGGAGTTCAATCAATTCCCTCAGTTTTTTTGGTTACTTTGGTTTGTTCTCTTCTTGATCGATTGATGAGATTTGAATATCGACAAATTACTGTTGTTTGAACAAATAAACTGATATAACCGAAACATATCAGTTATAAAACCGAACTGGGACAAGAAGTCAGCGCTGTGCTTACAGGAGATCTATAGCCTAATCTCAAATGCTTTACGAAGTTTTATCTTTTAAATAACAGTATCAGTATTAATTTCACTACTCCAGATTTGTATTTCACAAGACCAAATCCTAATACAAAGAAGAGTTGATATATTCATACACGGACAAGAAATCTGAGCTATGCATAAGGGATAAAATTCCTTAACCTTAAATTATTTGAAGAACTTAATAACATCAATTTCAATAACACACAATCCGTATTTTCGATCCTGTTCCAAAATACTGGCTACTTAGATATTGATATTCCCGTTGATTAACAGCCCACCAGCTGGGGTAGATATGTCGTGGTAGTAATAATATCATAGGTAACAATTATAATGAACCAGATGTGCATTTTGACAATAAATGTGTCGTCAGTGCTGTTCGAGACCAAGACATTTGTAAGTCAAAAATATAATTCAATCGATAAAGATCTAATAAAAAACACCCCCAAAACACCAAAAACTATGGCCAATATAAAAATATGGAGATGTGGTTTGATTGCCAATCAGCAAACTATACATCAGAGAGCAAATGACGTGGATGTAAGCAACTATAGAAAACTGTACGGCCTTCAACTTGTTCAACAATGTGCATAGCTCATACGTATGTGACACATTTCAAAGCAGGAAACAACGGTTATATTTGCCAAACCCGCTCAAGGATTCAGCGCTATGCATGAGGTAGATACATTCCTTTGTTCAAAATGATTTTTAACTGTTATAAAAGTATACATTTCCATTCAATTTCCAAATTTGTATAATTTAGTTTTCGTTTCACAGATATTACCATTAGAACAATTACTTGGATGGCTGGCTTATTCGTTAGATTACTAATATAGGATACGATGTTCGTTTCTCAAAATTTAGACAAGTATACTCACACTGATATGCGAATTTGTAATTTTAATACTTTTGTAATTAACTTATCCCTGAGAGTGACGTCGTGTTTATAGACAGTGTTCTGAAGGAGGAATTATCTAGAATAAATTACATGGACTGTTATCAAGAAGTATATCAATGGCACCTCAAGAGAAAATTAATTACTTCAAATTAGTTGCTCTTATTGCTGATATCGCATGTCTTGTTATCTGGAAGTATATTAGGGAAAATATACTTGGAAAAGATTCTTTTGAAACATTTCTAAATAAAGAGAAACATAAAATGGTGCACCTGTATGAAACATTACCATGCTGTGAATGTATGGTCAGTAAGATAAATGGAGAGAGACTTGTCTCAAGAAAGCAGTTCCTTGTATTATATAGATCTGTTGAACGGAACAAAATATCTTGCCACAACAAGTATCCTTGCAGAAAATTAACCCAGATTTGCATCTGTAATTATTCTGCGAATGAAAATGTAGATGTGAAAGTGGTTGATATCACACTTGCAAACTATATCATTCAAAAGTGTGGAAAACGCGAACAAGGGGTAGACAATTGGATTGAACAAATTAAAGACGTGCGAAACAAAATATTTCATCTATCAGATATACAAAAGATAACAGATGACAAATTCAACAGGACATGGACAAAGTTAGAAGGGTCCATATTGGGAATAGCAAATCTAATGGACAGTGCATACGTAGCAGAAATCGAGAAAAAGATTTTACAAACAAAGGAACATGTATTTATTTCTTCTTGCATGTTGAAGTATGAGAAACTCTGCTGTGACTACTGGAGAAATAAATGCGCTGAATTTGAGGTAAGATTAACCATGTTCTGTTTTCCTTGAATAAAATGAACCAATTTCAAGCCTCAGAATAGCCAGATAATATTCAGTTCAATTCAATATTTTCAAATTTGATCTTTTTGTAAACTATAAGCACAACATTCAACTTGAAATCGATTGACTCGTCGTCTATATACTTTGTACATGTTATTGTCAACGCGCATTTTTCCAATATTTTTTCTTGTGTCTCAATACGTTAAAATGTCTCTAGTTGATTAAAAAACTGCTTTTATTGTGCCACTCTAATTTGTATCAATTGAATTGTATTTGCATTTAAATACGATATCCAACTTTACATGACATAATGTAATTTTTGTAATTGTTTTTTTTTCTTCTGGTGATTTAATGAAGAGAGCTCAGGTACAGGTTATCGAAAAGAAAGCAAGGGCTCTACACATGAAAGATCATAAAGTGTTCAGTAAATCTATGGAAAAGGATTGCCATAAAACCATGGAAGAAATTCGTAAATATGTATATTAATGTACTTAAGAACTTCGAAAATGTCCGAGTTAAGAAGATGTGGTATTCTTGCCAATGAGACTACTATTCATCAGAGTTAATCGTACGACTTTGAACAATAAACAACAAACAATAACATACTGTTATGAAGATACAAAAGACCTAGAATTGACAAAATGTAAATCAATTCAACCGGGAAAAAGAACAGTGGCCTAATAACTAAAAAAAAAATAAATAAAAAATCACACACATACAATAGACCGGAACCAACGACATCCTCTGAATAACAGATTTCTGTAAAAACATCCTCCTGTTACCTATCACATTTTTTGTAAATAATAGTAATGCTATTACCATCATTAATTTTGACAAGCTCGACAAATGAAAAAAAAAAAAAAAAACGAAACACGCATTTCTATGTGTTTTCGACTCTTTTATCAAAGATTATATGAATGTCTTGAAAACCATTACTTAGTTCAATTGTTATATCATTACTTCCTTTTATTTGGGCAGAAAAATTAAAAACTATTGTTGACAACATTGATATACTGATCAAGGTTTTTGGGAAGAGCGAAGATGTGAACACGTTATTAGTGAATGAAGGTATGATGTTTTAAGAGTAATTGATTATTCAATGTTTCTTTAATTTCTGTATGCATCTATAACGGTTCCTACAAGTTTGATCATTTGGATAATTTCCCGCCATATCCATTTGGAAGATAGCAGATTTTAATATTTTATTTGAGCAACTGGCACTTCAGCCTATTGACTACAATACTTATCATCTCTAAATTCTTAAATTTAATAGAAGATAAACGATCGATAAGCTGGCATTGCACAATCTATATTGAGATACAATAAATGGTTAGCAAGAAGGTATGCTACTTTTCCTAGAAGATTTAATACTTTGATCTTTCTTCTTGTTAATTTTTTATTGGTTGGACGTTAGGGAATGACAGATGACCATGACAGATGACCATCACTAAAGAGCGACAAAGGCTATTAAAGGGACATTCAAACTCGTAAGTCGAAAATAAACTGACTAATTGTCGTAACCGAAATTCTGTTTTTTTCTACGAATGACACAACACAAACATGATGTGCTTACCATCAGAATCACCAGATATCAAACCGTTTTTGGTGGGATCCGTGTTACTCAGTCTTTAGTTTTCTATTTAGTGTTTAGCAATTTGTTCACATGCATAATATTTTTTGTATAATTCATGATTAAGAACTGTTATATTATGATATTTCAGACATCCAGAGAGTACCCGTTTTCCTACAACTGGACTTACCGGCTTCATGGAACAGAACGAAAGTTTTGGAATATCTCGACGAAATGAGAATAAATGGAACGTCTGATATGAATATAAAAATTATGGCAGTTTCGCCTGATGATCTTAACATTTATTCAGAGATAGCAAAGACAGTTCTTAATAAAGTTGATTTGCTAAAAGACGAAGTCCAAAAACTATTGTCTGGAATGCTTTTAGAGGCGGCAATTGACCCAAAACAAAGTGCTGAAGTGGGTTTTAGTTTAACAATACCAAAAATTACAGGTACTTTTTTGTCCGTACAGCGGCAACTATATCAAATCACATGGCATGATCTCAGTAGTAGCACTATTTTAAAAAAGGTTTTAATATTTGCACATAAGTTAACATATTTAGGTCTAAAAAACACTGGCTAAAATGTCTATGGTATGTTAACTGCACTATATGTTTAAAGAATCAAATATTTGAAAGGCATAATATATGTTTTATATAAAAGCATGATTCTGTTGTTAGTACTCCCTGGTAATAAAGCAAACAAACGGAAAAACGTTTGGTAAAACGAAAAAAATATATAGAATAATCATAGCTGGAGAGATATATAACCTGTAGAAAATGAATCGAAAGATACCACAAAAAGATATGTACATAGGATGAGCAGATTGCAATTTTTACTTACGGTACGAACTATAGTCATTTATTGAGAAATCTGACGAAAGATTATGAGGACATTAAATATCTCAAATCCTACTCATGTATTAACATTTTGCAATATGTGTCATAAAAATGTTACATGTATCAAAATATAATTTGAATAATTACAAAATCGAAACGTTCATTTTAACTTACTTTCAGAGCCGCGAAAGTCTTCAAGCGTATTTTGTTTTTGACAGATTGTTTTAATGATTCATGGTACTAAATGAAGATCGATGAAGACAAATATAAAAATATTATGAATATTTGCCTTGTAAACCACACATAAGAACGCTAGTTTAATTTTTTTTTAGAAGAGACTAGTGAGATAAATAGTGAAGATGAACATGATGAAGCTGAACAGGCAGATCATCCTTCGGCTATTGATGATTGCCAAACAAGAACAGAATTTGATGGTAGGTAAAATATTACATATAAACTGGAATATCTCAATAATTTGTTAAATCAGATATAGCAGATGTAGTTGGTCCTTCATTTAAACTTACTTACAGGTATGAAAGTCCTCAAGCGTATTTTGTTTTTGATATATTGCCTTTAATGGTTTATGATACTGAATGTCAAAACACGTGTGAAGATAGATGAAGACAAATATAACATAGTATGAACATTTGCCGTGTATAATAATAACTTGTTTGCTCAAATATAGCAGTTGTAGTTGGTACTAATTGATTACGCTATCATATGCTTTCAAGATTTGAACAGTCTTTATGAAGTTTATTTGTCACAGATGACTAGGTATGTTCCACATGTACATGATGTAGTACATTCAATTGTGCCGACTTTACCTCCATTGTGACAACACTGAAAGCAACTTATCACTGGAGTTATACTTATTAAAGCGACACGAGTGACGTCAATTATGAAACAGGAAAAACTAACCCTTGTGTAACACCTGTTTCCATCTCCGTTTTTGTGGTAGGTTCGTGTGTCTCGTTTTCCATTTCTTATGTTATGTTTTGTTATTGATGTTTGTCCGTATGTGACTTTTCTTAGTCATGGTATAGGCTGTATTATGCAACAGTATTTTAATTTTTCTCCTTGCTATAGCTCTTTGTTCAATTCAATGTTAAAGTGTGTGTGTGTGTGTGTGTGTGTGTATGTGTGTGTGTGTGTGAGTGTATGCTAACGTTCTTGAAATCGTTAACGAATCTAATTTGTGAACTGGGTCAAGTTTTGCTCTAGTGCATCTTAATTTAATTGTCCTAGTTCCAGTGTACTCTTGACGGTCATTTTAACAGTGTTTTGTTAAATTCAAGATTTATAAGATTGTAAAACCAATGAACTGAACGGATTTTCTATTGTTTTTTTTTGTTGTTGCTTTTTTTTGTTACCTCAATTTACATATCAACCGAGCATCAAAATGCGGACGTAACAATTTGTTCTCAGCGTGTTGCTATCTCTAGTGCAACTGCAACGATGAATCAAATAGTTATTGTGGAATTATATTTTCTAAATGCATCGCAATTGAAAATGACATGATATTATTTCAACTGCGGCTTTGTTTTAAAAAATTCTATGTTGAACTACATCCACTTCATTGAGAATCAATGATATCTTTCAAGCCTAAAACTTACATTGCACTTATTGCTCGAGTGTAATTGATCTTTTTCGTATATACTGTATTACCTGTTAGTAATGTATGCCCACCCAATTTGTACTGATATCAAAAACTTCACTTACATAGGCGCTATCTTCCTGTTATTTCCGATACTTCATGCTATTGGATGAAAATATAATTATGTGATATTGAAATATTTTTAATATTTGAAAAGTGTTTATTTTTCAATCGCAGACTATATATCACAGATAAAGCAAAATCTGCGGTGGAGACATGTTCACATATTTGAAATCGCAAATTTGATAGTCTTGTCAGGTTAAGTTTCCCTTTTTTTTATTATTACTTCTGCTTCCAAACATTTTTGTCAACCCAAGAGTATCTACAATATATGCTAAATGGTTGTACTTTCTACTGGTACAACATGTAAAAGATTATCTATGATATTTTTGTCTTTTCTTCAACGGTATTACGTAAAGACATCAGAAGTATGTGTTACATTAATATTGATTCAGAGTTAGATGGATATAAATCAGCTGACAATTGAGGATATATTCATTAAAATCCATTGCAAATTCATCAGTTTTAAAAAATTTCACCAAAATATTGGTCTGTTTACATTTTTGCAGAACCTGTACGATTGAAGTCATATTTCAAGTTTGATATTAGTCGACGACAGAAGTTACAACTAGAAGCAATTCAAAATAGTCTAATTAGTGATTGCGTTATCACCAATGACCAGTTGGTGTTTACTGATTATTTCAACAACATATTACATATCTACAATATAAATGGAAGTCACAATCGAGATATAAGATTGTCCAATCATCCGAAATGCATTTCAGTAATAAAAGACACCGATGTTGCTGTCTCGTATAATCGAGATATAGAAATAATCGATATCAACACTGGAGAACTGAAGAATACAATTGTAACGCGTGGTGTTACCAGCGGTATATCTTATCAAAATGGACTGATGTATGTTGTAATTTGTCACCAGAAAATAGATGTTATGAAAATGACAGGAGAAATAGTTCGATCTATTCATTGCCCTTTTCAATCACTGTACATAAGTTTATCAACTGATACTGACAGTTTGTTGCTCACTGATTCCTTAACGCTTACTGTATACTGTTGTGACTTGTATGGATCGGTCAGATGGAAGTTTACTAATGATAAGATGCACATGCCAACGGGAGTTACAAAAGATGGAAATGGTAATGTTTATGTTGTTTGTAATGAATCTAACAATGTTGTAGTGGTATCACCTGATGGTAAACATCATAAAGAATTACTTACTAAGAAAGATGGACTGCAAAAGCCGACTGGGATATACTACGACAAATCAAACGATTGTCTGTTGGTGTGCAATGGAGGGAATTGTGATGCATTTCTATTTGATGTTAAACATTCAACTAAAAATGAATGAATGTCATTTCAGTGATAGTACCTAAATGGGTGCGGTGAGCTTTGTTTCATATCTAATTGATAAATGCTTTCGCAATTAAATTATAGTCTGTGATATTTTTAATACAGCGCTGTACGTAACATACTTTTAATCTGAACAAAAAAATATTTTTATACATGATATATTTTGAAATTGTAGAAGATGATTGCAAGTGAGTTTCTCTGAAATTTTGAGGAGGCTATTATTTGCACTAATAGCAAATAAATTATACATAATACAAAAAGAAACCAAACTTACTCAGTTACTATCTGCTACAATATTCTTTTGATTTTAATCTTCTTTTCCATTTATAAAAGAACCATTTGTTAAAAAGGTATGACAACGAGTGATACTAATGGAGAAGAAACCTCTTTTTCTGAGATTATACTCGTTTTTTATGGGCTCGTTTTTCTCTGTCTTATGTTTTCAGTGAAGTGTTTTTGATGGATGTTAGTCTTTCCGTTGCTTTTATTCGGGGCCATGGTGTTGTTGTTTACTTTTTCGACTGATGAGTTTTGCTTTTTCTTTGGTATCTTCTGTTTCTGTTTTAAGTTACATCTTAACACTAACGGAGGTTATAGTGTTTTAATTGGGATTTCTTTGTTTTGTTGTGGAGCTTACTTATCTCCAGCGTGTGTCTTCCTGAAAATTTACTGGAAGGTTTGATAGAGGAAAGTTGGGGTTACAGAATACGCTTGTATTTTTTAGCATTTCTTGTAGCGTTGAATTTGTTTTCTGAAGTATTACAGCTCAACTGAAACGACGAGACCCTTTGGTAAAGATATATTACGTCCTGCAAATATTTGCCTTCTTGCGTGTAAAATAAGTTCCCAATATTGATCTATCGTAATCAAAGTGGGAAACAAATTAATTACGAGAATTGCAATTTTTAATAATTTCGACATTTGAATTGAAGTATAAGATGTGGTCGTCTCCTGCGATTATAATAGCAAAGCAGTCAGTAGAAGCCGAGCTGTTCGAAGTTTTCTTATTTGTGACGACTATTCCTTACGTACACAAATAAAATTCACTTCTTCTCATGCATGGTAATGCGCAGATGTAACTTTTCATGCATTATCAATTGTTTTTAATTCATTATGCGCATGAGTAACCTCAATTTCCATGTTCCTGCTTTTATATGCACATACATTTATTCTTTTCGTTTTTACTAGCTTTGAAACCCCGAAGTGATGTTTATTGACACATGAATGATTAAGTATGGGTCAGTAATTCCAATGCTTTCTATATTGAGGGTGCTGTTAGGTCTAAAACGTAAAAAAAAACACAAAATTATCAAGGACTAAAACTCTCTACATCAATTGCAATATTGAATGAAGTCATAGCGAATTCGAAAATATTAGAAGCTGAGCCAAGCAATATTACCTGGAGAGCAAATGACTAGAAGCCGTCGCTAAAATTGGAAGCGTAACGTATCGTTACGGTTGAAGCAGTTAGAACAGGGCAAACAATTGGACCTGCTTGAAAACTAAAACAACATAAAACAAAAACAAAAATGATAGATAAATCTTTGAATCATGGACAATGAAAACACAGTAGAGTTTCATAAATCGACGTTTGCAAAGTAGAATAGGATTTGGTTGTCTCTTATGTCATTCTTGTAACGTAGTCGTTAACGGAGTCGAGAATTTTATTGCGGGTAGGATGACCCAAAACAAATAAACCCTAAGAACTTTTAAATATTCATTTTAAACTCTAATTTGGATCTTCAATTTAGGCTCAAAGATCACAGCTTTTCAATATATACATCGGGTGAGTGCCTACATATACAATATATGTACATTGTCGGAAAATATAAAATTTATTTGTATGAGCTTTAGAAACAGGACGAAAAGCGAGGCTCGCCGAGCTTTTCTCCTGTTTCGCAGCGAGTACAAATAAATTTTATATTTTCCGACAATGTACATATATTGTTTTTATCCTGAAATTTACACCCAACCCTTGAAACTTTAGTTATTAAAATCTAAATCATTGTCTCTAATTTTCCAAAGAAATCGACATAGTTTAAACGCGGACCGCGAAGAGGACCCCAAAATGAACTGGTACGCAAAAAGAAATATTCACATTACCGCTTGCTCAACATGGAAGAAGGGTAACAGGAGACTATATTTGTACAAGTACAAATAAAGCAAAAATTTATTTGTGTACCTTTTATTTGTACAATAGTTGGCTGGTTGCAGGATAATGAAGTTTATTCCAAAATCCAGTGTTGTGTGAACTTATTCGGTATCAAACAAGTCTTCTGTCACTAGTTATACTTCAATGGCTTAGATGAAGATTTACATCTGAGTTAAATTAAGATACCAATTGATCTTTCATCATTATACTATGTATTACATTTGATAAGGGACTTTCCGTTTTGAGTTTTCCTTGGAGTTCGGTATTTTTGTTATTCTACTTTTACTTCCAACTTTTGCTAAACTTCATTTAATTCAGTTTTGCAACAGGTTCAGACAACACAGTATAAGCCAACTACAATTAACTATTTGGTTGTAAGAAACGATGTATCTTAGGAGGTATAAAAGGCACACCGAGACTTGTATTCATATAACCTGTTGTAATGATGCATCTTAAGAAAATATATCAGCTGAAAGTTGTCCTGTAATGATAAAATGGTATGTAGTTATGCATCTAAGAATAATTGCAGCCCTTTAAACACAGAATACAATTATTTTATTTTACGCTTCATCGGCTTTGGTTACTTGTACGTCCGATATCAAATATCAAACAAGATAAACCTACCATCAGAAAAAAAAGAGTTTTAAGTATGAATCGTCTTGGATTTTGCTGTTACTCTACTGAACCAGGTAACGGTAGGGTTGAGCGATCACAAACATATATTACCAAACTATGAACAGATTCTGTTTCAATGACATACATGTTATTGAACACAATGTCACACTGGTCTGTTTTCTATTTACATTAGAATGGAAAGTGGTTTAGATTACTTTTCTTTTAATCTATTCAAAATCCTACAATTTTTGACATTTATGTCTGACAGGTTTGCAGATCTTAGTAAAATATTTGGTATGTTATTTTTTCAAGAATATCTAACTAATTATTAAATAGGAAGCATTAACTTTGAACTGTAAAAACGACTATATTATTTCCATGTTAGAAACTGATTCTCAAAGAAACCAAAGGAGAAGATATGATAACAGCAATTATTGGCCCTTGAAATTACATATAGAGTAAAATAATTGAAGCCTTTCAACATCATTATTAGATTATTAATTTTATCATTAAACGAACATTTTACTTTATAAAATTTGATATAAACACTTTAGCACAGAAAGGTCACTTGCAATGTCATCACAAAATAGAAATCATGTTACCATGTTTAAAAACATCTTGTTTAAATATCTTTTGGTCAAAGCATTGGCTCATATCTTACCATTGATGGCAATATCTCAAAAATGATACTATCTGGACTGGTTTTGCAGTTATTCACAATTCAAGAAGTTTGAAACTCTGATGTCAGTGATGAAAATTTTTTTAATACCAAATTTGAAAAAAAAACTTAACTGATATCTGGCAAAGTAATGTCTGATAAACTTCAGAACCATGTTATTTTGTAGATTCATTCTTCGTGCTTCTCGAATTCAAGACGTTTAAGAAGGTGACCTTGTAGTATCCTCTCTTTTTTGTCATTTTAATACAATTCCAATTTTATGTTAAAATATCTAAACACATAACGTCAATCGTCGTATATTTATATATTTTTAATACAAATACCTGCCAATGTAAATTGACCTTCAGGGGCCAATTTGCAATTAATGAATTTGGTTGATGTGTTGCCCAATTTTATTTGGGGGGGGGGGGGGGGGGGGGACAACGATTAAAATCCTGCGTTGCAATTTAAGTCAATATGAGTTAATATTTAGATGCAGCAAATTATCATTACTTTTTAATATCACGATCCTTCAGGTTGCTGTCCAACTACCAATGGCGAAAGATCAGATATGCAGGCGTATGCAACCTTTCAGAGATACTACTTGAATTATTTTAGTTGTTTAAATTTGAGAATGATAAGTTTTTATCTCGATGGGCTTAAGAAACGACGTTTCAATTCTATCTTTTATTCTGACAATTTTTAAGTTTTCGAATGTGCATTTTTTTTTAAATAGAAATGTGCCGTCAACATACACTAAATGAATATTTTTGTTTGACATGATTTCTTGCTGAAAACATGGATATTGATGTTTTGTATATTCTTACCAATTTTATACGTTCAGAAAGAGGCAAGAGTTAAAATCAGCCGTATCTCACAAGGATGGGTAAGTCGGCAGAAACCATCAGATAGAGTCGACGTAAAGAGCACTGTATTCATTTCTGCGTCATCGACTGATTTGGAGATTTACCATCATTAGGAACACTCAAATAAAAAAAAAAACAGGCCAAGAATGTATTCATATAAATATACATGTACTTCAATCCGCTAGGAACTATGTTATCATAAAGGGAAGCCTAATAGCCATATCCATTTAAGGCTAAGTTTTCCTAGGGTGTTGGCTGAGGTTCCCAATTTTACACACCACACGAAAAATATCAATCCATAGGATAGTTCTATACATTAATCCTATGAACATCTTCTTAAAATATTGATGAAAGAAATAACAAAAGAAAATAGAAGTTCACAAACAAAACAAAGCAAATAGAAATCTTTTACAACCAAACAAGTCTGAGCAGCAAACATTTCTGTCACTCTGGAAATTAGTTCATAAATAAAATTTATAAAATTATGATTAGTCGACAAGGATTATTACTATCTTTTCATTAGTCAAGTTATAATGCACTGGAAACAAGAATTTGTAATAATTTTCTAGATATAGTAAATCTTGAAAACGGCAATCATATTGTTTACATTAGATTGTTCAGTACTTCCTGTGGATAATTGTCCGCTGTATGATAATAGAATTCATGATTAATAAAAGTAACATATCATCAATGTAACGATGAACGTAATAACATTTTCCTACTAGATGGAATAAAAGAAAACTTATGTTTGGTTAGGTAGTGTAACCTTATATTGTAATGAAAAGATATCAAAGTTGAAAGCACCGTGAAAAGAATATAATGTATATACAAAAGTTGAATACATTTTCACACTGTTAAAATATTAGTTTCATCATTTCTATGCATTTGATGACTTAATAACTAGTTACATGACTACAATAACCTGTTGTTTGACTGATTTGCAAGCAAGAAGGTAGTTAAAAGGATAGAGATGTTATTTGAAGAACACTTATTAAAAGCCTATAATTACTAATACATATCAGCAGTCTTATTCAGAAATGTGCCAAAAGGTCTGATTATTTCTTTTATAACCAGAGTAAAGCAATATCTGAGTTCTTACTGAAGAACGTCCGTGTAGTATTTATGTTATTCCATCAACAAATTGTCAGTTCTTTAATCGGCCTAGTACTTAAAGTTTATTTTGTAATGATAGAACAACACATCGTAGTATTAGCTGTTTAATAAATTTCAAAATAATGTTTGCTAAGTGATTTGTTATATCCACACTATTTATACTTTTATTCAAATAAAAATTAAAAACTGGTAATTACTCTCGTTAACACCGATTTTTACAATATAATGAAGTTGCATCTTTAATGACTAAACTAGTTAATTGTTTTCTGTTGAGCAAAACATGTTTGCCGAATTCATCGCTCGGTCTTGAACGATATTCAGGTTTACTACATTAACATGGCCATAATGATCATATTTACTAAATACTTCATATGACCGTATCACGATAAGCGTGAGAAAAATTGAATACGGCGGTATTCTTTTTTATTTTTTTTAAACAAATCTAAATATGAAATGAATGTCAACCGATCTCCGTTTAAGAGAATACATACATTTTTTCAGACCTTTTCTGCAGGAATTCTATAATTGGTGAATAAACTATGATTACCGATTATACTTTCATTCCGTCGACATGCTTTTGTAGTAATTGTTAAGTTGATAATATATATATCGAAAAAATGAATAAACATGGGGAGTGATGATAGTAAAAACACAGAGTTAGAAATACAGTAAAAGATAAACATTTCACACTTTTTTTCTTTCAGCCCGTGTCATTGCTCCATCACTGTTATTCGTGACAGTGTAACTCTATGTAACTAACGATGTTGTACAATCTAACCTTATGCACAACCATAAAATAGAAAGCGAATAGAGTCACTGATATACATAGTTATGAATAAAGCTCATGTATATTATCGTACTGTTTTTTTCTATATATAACATGTATAAAGAAAAATATACACAAAAACACTCAAAAAATGCAAGCAACTATTTTTAAGCATTGGGAAAATCTGAGAGTTACTGACAGCACTAAAAATTGTGGTGACAATATACAGCAATAATCCCTTTTACATGTAGCTTGACCAATAGATTTATCATTAACAATTCTACCATTGACAATACATAAGTTTACACATTTGCAAAGTAAGAGCTACCCTTTACAAAACTTAACTTACTTTGTTTTGTGTAGTAATTAAATTTTGTAATTGAAATATTTAATCGTTTTAAAAAAGTTCGTACTAAAACCATTTCTAGTAATCTTGTCCAAATTGAAATAATTACATATATGATCATCTATACCAGTAAAATCTGATACAACATTAGTGTGTGCATCAATGTTCCCTAACAGACACAATTTAAAATCATGAGTCTTGGACATAAAATCAATAAATAAATATCATTTTCAAATATATGAAAATGTTCAATAGAACTAAAATTTTTACACTATGGGTGAATATTTACTGTGCCAAAAATAACAGGGTGCGAGCCCATAAAAAATTACCTAAAAATTTAGACAACAATACTTTATCATAACTGCCCTTTGACGACAATACAAAATCAACATGATCAAACAACTCGTTCTTAACAAAACATCTGTAACACCACCAGATTTCACTTGATCTTCTTTCTGTTCAAATGAATCAAAGCTTAAATTTTTTTAATATCTATGACATCTTAATAAACAGGCTTTATTCTTGACAAGCAAAAAATAAAATAACAAAAATACCGCTCCAAGTAATATTACATCAACTGTTTGACAATACTTCTCAAAATCAACAGATTTGAGCTTCACCAACATACATTGGAGGATAGAAATTTAATATTATCAAATGTGGTATCTGATTGTGAATGGTTAGTATCAGTACGGTTCCTTGTCAAGCCAGATATAAGGTCTAAGTGCCCCCCATGCCGTTCCTTTTCTAGATCAACAAGGCCCAGTGCTTTAAAGTCATAATGATCCCAAGTTACCTATTATATGAACCGGAAGAGATATTTCGTAAACTGGAAGTAGCAAATGATTTTCGTTATTTCAAGCAAATATATATAGAAACTATTTTTTTCTCTCTCGAATCAGTGTTAAGATAGCTATCACATTGACAGAAGAAGTTGTATTTTATACACTTGAAGTAGCCACTGTTGTCTGCTCTTTGGTCGGGTTGTTGTCTCTTTGACATATTCCCCATTTCCATTCTCAATTTTACTTATCTCTCTTATTTCAAACAAAATATAGAAACTTTATATTTTTAGTCAGTTTAATGTTAGCTACCAAATGACACCAATATGGTATTTGCACATCTGAAGTAGTTACTTATCTTCCTTATTTGAAGTGTAAATATAAAGAAACAATACTAGTATATATTTTGAATCAAAGAAAGGTAAGCTATCATTTGACCATGACGTTTACTTTTCTTTAAAACCAGAAGCATCTAATTTCAGAGAAAGAACTACTAACTACTCATTTTAATAATCAATGCGAGATATGTTATATCCTGACTTTTTTTAAAACCAAATTCTCTTTTTGTAATCAAATCTTTTTTTTTATATATATATATAATCTTCATTTTAATCTTGATCATCAACTTACGGGGTAGAAACACCTTCAATTGATTTCTTGACAACTGGGTTTTAATTCGTTATTTAATGGTTGCCTTTTAAGAGTTTTATATCTCTACCGAGTCGGAATCTCTAAAATTCATGAAACCAGTAAGCAGAGAATCTATCCCATCAATCTTTTAAAAATAAAAGTATTGTTGAAACCATTATTATACTTTTTATAAAAAAACGTCGTTCACCCAAAGTTATCTGTCTTTTGTTTTGATATTTTTATTTGGTTCATTTTTCAAAAATTAAGTCGGAAATATTTACTGTAATTATCTATCTTATTTTTTTGGGTTTTTTTTTTGCAAATTTAAAACATTGAAACTTCGGTAGAATATTATTTAAAGGTAAACAATAACTATATATAGATCTACAATTATTTCCCGGTCGCCATTTTGTGAAGGATTTTAACAGATCATCAGGTAAAAAGTAAAATAACAAAATTCCGAACTCCAAGGAAAATTCAAAACGGAATGTCCATAATCAAATGGAAAAATCAAAAGCTCAAAACAAAGCAAACGAATGGATAACAACTGTCATATTCTCGTCTTGGTACAGGCATTTTCTTATGTAGAAAACAATCTATATAAAAATAAGGAGATGTGGTATGATTGACAATAGGACATCGAAACTGTTTCATCACTCAATGAATACGCAAAGAGTTGAACAATACAGATATACCTCAGCAAATTCATGGTAATAAACAGTAACCAATTTCCTTTATCTTTGATTACCTTTCATGTTCAAAATATCATTTGAGTATGTCAATATCCCCGTACAGAAAGTGTTATTTCATAGTTGACTTGACTTGACTTGACGAACGATGCATACTACACTAACGTCTTTATTATGTATATTAGAACACACCCACGACACCGCCGATCCGTGATTTAATTAAAGTACCTTAGCCTTATTTATAGCCGGGACTTTAATTCACTTGCACTCAGAGGTGTTAATGATATTCAATGAATGTTTATAGATTTCTGTATATTTTTAGGACTATAATAGTTTATGAAGGAATGTATATACTCTTTTAGTATTTTGATTCTCAATGTTTTATTTTTAAATAAGTAGTACTAAAATTAATTGGTTTGTCGTTTTTACGTCATGCCGGCTGACAAATTGGACCTCGTTTTTTTAGTAGTATAGATATATCGGAAACAAAACGTACTTTTTAATCGTACATTTTTCATACAATTGAGAATGGAAACGGAAAAATGTCAAAGCGACAACAACTCAACCTAAGAGCAGAACATATGATTTTTTACGACCTTAATGAAAATAACACTTAATAAGTTTCGTGCGTCGAAACTCTATTCTGTATTTACCGTCATTAGAACGTTCAAATCCATGGAAGATTAACTAGGCATTACAAAAAGCGTTACACAAATATGTGATGTTGTAGCAAAATACAATTAATGCACAATTTCTTTTGATATTTCAACACATTGAATTAAAGAGAAATCGGTGTTTGGTATAATTTGACCGGACATTGTCAACAATTTGATGATTTTTTTTTTAATACTCAATGTAGATATATAATTAGATTAAAAGAGTAGTTAGTACACAATTAAACAGGAAAATGCAACGGTGGTTTCATAGTAGCGTGCTCTCATTGACAGGTTAAAGTAAAGACGGTAGTTTTCATGGTGCTCACATTGAGAGGTTAAATTAAAAACTGGAAATCTGGTGCCCACGGAAAGAACAACCGACCTTCCGTAGTCAATTAAAACTTAAGTAGAACGCATCTGTCGCTTGTGGGGTTAGAACTCACAACGCCAGTGTAGAAAAGCAAATTTCAGAGTAGATCAACTACTTAGACCATTCGGCCACCGACGTCCCCTCTCAATCCTTGTCAATCAAAACTTTAGTAGAACGCATCTGCCGTTTGTGGGGTTAGAACTCACAGCCCCGGTGTTGACAAGCAAATGTTAGAGCAGATCAACTACTTAGACCACTCGGCCACTGAGGTCCGCTCTCAATCCTAAAAAAGAGTTGCTGCTTTCAAGGAAGCTTTTGAACGAAGGGTGTACATGTATGGTGGTAAAATTGAAATTCTCCCTTCTTATATTACACGGACGCCATAGGGATTTTTGTCGATCGTTATCGAATACCTTTGACACAGATGACAACGGAAATGTATCAATTGTCGTAACCATAATCCCCTCCTCTTTCCGCTGATTATGATATCATTGAATGCGTTATTAACCTCAACCAAAAGACTGATGTGACATGTGAAGCAAGATCTGCCTTCCATCCGAGAGCATTTGATATCACCCGGGTTTATGATATGGTTCATTTAGCTTTTTATGTAGTGTTTTGTGGACGAATCAAATCTCTTGTACATATAAAATGTCTTTCTCAGTCATGGATTTATGCAACACAAGAATTGTGTCCTAATCAGCATTGAAGTATGTAATATGAAAATGTATCATTCAAAGCTGTAATTAATGAATGATTTACTATGTCGCATTTTTTTCTCATTTTGTATTTCCATTTATTTAAAAACAAAAAGATCTATTAATAAATTAACATATATGAAAAAAATAAAAATACATAACTCCATGGTACATGAAAATAGGGGGAACTCCATAAAAACTGACAAAATCAAAAGTTAGACTGCATCAACCAACAGAACGAATAGAAAATAACTGTTATACTCCTGATTTAAAACATGCATTTTCTTCAGAAAATAGTAGATTAAACAATATCTTATAGCTAGGTTGACCTTCCACTTGTATACCAGTTATTTATAGTTCCCATATATTTACAAAATTGGATGAGCAACCCAAGCAGTCATAATATGTTGATATTGATAACATCGATTCCTTTATTGAAGGCCGTATTGTGACCTCTTGTCGTTAATTTCTGTGTCATTTGGTCTCGTGTGCAGAGTGGTCTCATTGGTTATCATACCACATCTTCTTTTTATATATAATGAGACAATAATTGGGATCCAGTAGCAAAATAATGTGTTACCATTTATCACAGACATACAATACAACTAAAAAAAAAAAAAAAAGAAAAGAAAAACAACAGAGAAATAATTCTAACAAAGACGCAAACATGATTTGTTAAGTATTTAATAGTTGATTTGAAAAGACGCGAACAATTTGTTTTAGTATTTGATAGTAAATTTAACAAGGACGCCAACAAAAGTGTTTTGTAGTTGATAGTACTAACAGTTTATAGTATATACTTTCCCTATAAAGTTCAAATTAAGTAAAAATTAAAGACGAGGGTAAACAAAATGAAAGTAATACTGTAAAAACCTTTTGCATCCGAATCGCACATCTGGACACATCCGCACCAGATAACATTATGCACTTGAAAAGGGATGCATAAATATGTTTTGTCCAACATACAGACTGGTCAGTATAATTTGTGACGTAGCTCTTTTTCGTCTTTTTAAACCAGTAAGATCGGAACCATTACATAATGAAAATAGGAAATTCCTTCCACTTCAATTTTCTAATTAAAGAATTGATATTTCAACAACAGCAACTTTCTTTATCACAAAGAGGTAACATCTAAATTTATTCCACTTTATTTTTGAAATCATTCTGTTCCTATTAAGCAGTTACACCAAAATAATTGCACCTAAATTATTCAACTATAAGCAACTATGACTTTTGACTGTTTCTGATCATCTGTCCATGTCATTACTGAATCTTTTGTCAGAATGGGTTAAATCTATCAGGTCTCTGATAAAACGTCGAATCCAAAAGTTAAAAATTGTATAAATGAATGACTAAGTCCGTATTCAGAGACAAAGAAGCTGTGAAATGTAAAATATCTCTTCACGATAAATATGTTGTATGCCTTCGGATAAAGCTTCATAAAATATTGTTTTTGTATGTTAATCGTACTACTATGAGTGTCATGTAAAAGAATTGGGAATACATTAGCACTCAAGTAACCCCACACGCAAAAACGTTTGATAAAGATGAGATTTTGGCGAATCACAAGTCGTTCACGGCTTCAATGAACATTACATTGAATAGCAAATATGAGGACCTTCATTGTTTTGGATGCATGAGATACGTAAGCTTCACACAATTCCGTACAAACATTGGTAAATTGCCGGGTCATTTGCATGTTCTACAAAGGAATTGTCCATTAGATTGACAAATATGTTGTCCGCAGTGAAAGAAGGTCTTCAAAAATACCGTGAAACTGTTTACTCGCGTAGTGGTATTACCCATATGTGGATTTTAAAAAACGAAAGAACTTCTAAATAATTTCAAATTTCGATCATTCTCTGAAATTAATTATATGTAAACCTTTGATTTTTCTACCCTTTATTCCACTATTCCCCACGTGAAATTGAAAAATTGTCTAAAAGAAATAATCCAGAATGCTTTTCATTATAAAAATGGTAGCCTATGCTATACATTTATTGCTTTGGGATACCATACGACAGATTTTGTTAACACTGAAAAAAAAAGATAAAACATACTACAAAGAGGAACAAGTGATCAGTATGCTGAAGTTTCTTATTGACAACATATTTGTTGAATTTGGAGACTTTTTCGACAAATTGTCGGCCTTTTTAAGGGAACGAACTGTGGGGATTTTCTTGTTGACCTCTTTTTTTATATATGATTCGAAGTTCCTTCAGACAAGAAGATCAAAGAAGCCAGATCACTTAATTTCACCTTCAAGTCTATTGATAATGTTATTTTCATTAACAATCCAAACTTTTTTGATTGGGCTCCATTAATATATTTCCCAGAACTAGAAATTAAAGAAACAACAGACACGGCTTCCTCCGCCTCATTTTTAGACTTTTACCTCGAATTTGACATCAGAAGTCATTTCAGTACCAGAATCTATGACAAACGAGACGATTTTAATTTTGAAATTATAAATTTTCTCCACCTTAGCAGCAATAAACTAACTTCACAAGCATATGGGATATAACTTTCCCAACTCATTCGGTAATCAAGAGCTTGCAGCTGCTACTCAGACTTTATAAAACGTCACCAGTGTCGTGGCAGAAATTTGATGACCCAAAGTTATGTGATAGAACGTCTTGTCTTTTTTCGAAAAATTTTCATCGTAAGATATCAAAACCTTGTTGAATGAATATTCCGTATCAACTTCACAAATAATACATGGTCTTGAAGTAAAGATTCTGGGTATTGACGTTGTTTAGCATCTTAATTACGTGTTATTATGTTCTTTTTATTTGTCTTTGTATATTTTTAACCTTTACTGTTTAGTCCATTTTTGGTAATATCCTTTTCGCGTGGCTCGGTATTTATGCATCCCGCCATTGTGTTACTTTTTTGTTTCTTATCTTTCATTTTTGCTGATGTGCTTTGTCTGTATACATTAACACAGTTTTTCAACTTGTGGATTTTACGCTGTATGAACGACATAATTGTTTTAACCCATTCTGACAGAGAGTCGAGTTAAGCCTCTTTTCTTTTACCCGTGCTCTTGCGTAATTGTTAACGAAATTCTTATTATTTTAGAGTTAATTTTCAAATTGATGTGTTGTGGTTCTGTAAAGTTTGAACCGTTAACTCATGTTTTAACATAATGTGAAAAAAAAAACAACAAGAGAAGTAAATTAATAATGAGCAAAGTTTCTTATTCCTGTCTTTTAAAAAAAATCATTTAAAGGTGTTTTTATTGTTAATATGTTTTTCAGAGTATGTCTGAATCACAGATAGACCGAGTTTGTTTAATGAGGTCGGAAGTTTTAAAATTCTTGAAACCAACAGATGTTATATTCAACATACAAGGACTGGAAGGTACCTCTAAATATACAACTTCAAACTCTGATTTGATTCTTCTTGTAAGCAAGTTAATTTCTGTTGAATTTTACAATGTGCAAAAATATCATCGTTTATGAAGAGCATGAACATGTTTTAAGCTCATTAAAAATTAGTACCCCAAGCGTGCTCGACAACCTGACGTTATAAATAATTGAATGACAGTACAAAGGTCCTGACATGACTCTAGTATAATTCTTATTTATTGCGGTTGTTTCTTATCAATGTAAGTGCCAAACTTTGTTAGACATTTTAATAGTTCAAAGACCTTTCTTTTTAAAAAGACTCTTGGTTAACGACTTGTGTGCATCCATGTAACATATGGCTATATACTAAGTAATTTATCATCCAAAAGCTGATAATGGGACATTTTGTTTTGCCCGATCATTGATAATTCGTAAAAGGAATTTTCCTACAATCATGGCCAAGAATGAGCATTCCTTAATGTTGCCAGAAATAATGTTAACCTCAGAAAATGAAAATGCAGGTCATGGCCTGCATTGAGGAAGAAAGGTCGGTTCATAACGCGTAGGAACTTTTTTCGCTTGAATTTCAGTATATAGAAGAATTTGTTTTGATATTCAATAACATATACAAGTTTCCTACAAGTAAACGTATTTGCTGAACATTATTTAACATTTTATTTTCATTTAACTGCATTTTTACGTGTCAAGTACGTGTCAAGTATCTTATTATTAATTTTATATAAAATATCAATATAAACAATTCCCTCTAATTGTTTCATCGACACTATTTTTTTTTATTAATGAATTTTATAAACACCAACTATGATAAGGAATCAGCTATAGCTAATGTGTTCCTATACACAGGAGGAATATACTGAGAAAGAAGAAGTGACTGTTTACATTCTGTGCACATTTGTAGACCTCGTCGATTTAAAGGGACTTGTATCTCTGCAACAGATATGTATAAAGATGTTCATAGAAATAAGAAGATGTGGTATGAGTGCCAATGAGACAACTCTCCATCCATGTCACAAGGTTGTAAAAAGTAAACAATTATAAGTCAAAGTACGGCCTTCAATACGGAGCTTTGGGTTACACCGAACAGCAAGCTATAGAGGGCCCCAAAAATGACTAGTGTAAAACCATTCAAACAGGAAAACAAACGGTCTAATCTATATAAAAAACGACAAACAAGAAACACTTATGAACCACATCAACAAATGACAACCACTGAACACCAGGTTCCTGACTTAGGACAGGTACAAACAAATGCAGAGTGTTTAAACGTTCTAATAGGCGCCAACCTTCACCCTAACCTGAAAGAATAGTGTAACATCACAACATATTAGTTTAAAATGATTTTAATAGGACCAAACAGCAAATTCTATAAATCAGAACATAAAATTCACCGGCTCCAACATTTATTGGGTACAATTAACGAGATAATTAGCGAAATGTTATTGCCTTTCAATCAAAAGAGTGTCAAAATTATGTTTTGATAGCGGTAGATTATTAGATTGAAGGCAAATTATCGAACTTCCTGTCGTGAAAGAATTTAGAATTTGCCGTTTTTCAGAGGATATTTTAGCATTTAGACATTGAAAGTCTCATGGCACTAGAATATGGATAAAAACGGGTCATTTGATGAAATCCCGGGAAGGGGTATGGAAAATCTCGAATGAACTGGTAAATCAGACTTTTATTGAAGCTTGTACAGTTGCCCAGAATACCAACATCTGCAAAGAAGTATCGTTGAACATAAAAAAAAAAAAAAAAGCCGTAATTAAACTAAGTAACGGAATATGCAAGCTATATGAATTTTACATATGTTTCGTAGTCGAACTTTCTTATCTTCTATGAGAGATCTTGAAATAGCAACATGAACTTTCTCATAAATAATTAGTAATAATGTACCTTATTATGGAAGCGCATTAGTTTGTACGTAGTCTTCTTATTAAATTTTTCTAAGAAAATTAGATTCCAAAATATTTAATATATGTTCTGACTGCCTGATGTTAACTTTTGGTCGTTTACAACAAACAAAGAGAGGTCAGAAAGGCGATCAAGGGAAGGATTTTACTTCATCAGAAAACTAAGAAACAAATTACTTTCAGTCAGAATGAATCAAGAACAGTTGTAATGGATGGGTAACGTTGTCATTTACAGTCGGATATTAACATGTCTGAATTAAAAGATACCACATGGATATTCATAACTCATTAGTCGAAAATTAACTGACAATGCCTTGGCAAAAAAGATAAACGACAACAAAACAGTAAACAAAACACAACATGACGTTAGATATAAAAACCAAAAAAAAAAGCAACCATCATGTTCTCCGAACGTGTCAGGAGGTATCATGTACTTCACCTGGCACCTGTCGTGTAATTGTTTTTTGTTTTGTTTTTTAAATCCACTATCTGATAGACAGATGACTAAACGAAATGGGATTCGCAAATTGTCTGATGGATTTTAGGCAATGGGAAATAATAAAACGCACCTTTTCAGTAATGACCTGTTACAATATTTTTTTTATAATTTTAACAGATTGTTGTACCTCGATCTATTTCTGTTCTGTTTGATGATTGCGACTTTTTGGGTAATCGTTTTTACAGCCATTGTAATTCATTTTTTAGCATTCAGATGTTGATTTTTTTAACCTTAAGAAACCATCTACTATAAGGTTAAATTTGAAATCTAAGTAAGGGTTAAGTAAGAGCTTGTTTTTTGTGATCAGAGTTAATGTGGGATTTAGGTAAGGTGTGGGTAATGATACGTTTTACGGTAAGAATGACCTTTATGATTTGGCTCCCATAAAGTCGAAAGATAACTTAAAAAAATAAGATTCCACAAATTGTCTGTTGCAATCTAGATAATAGTAAATAGTATAAAGCCTGTGAATTAGTTATAGCCTCGATATATCTTTACTGTCGGGTAGTTTAAAATTTTGTGTAATTGTTTTACATCCATTGTATATTTGTTTAATTATACAGATGTCATTTCATTCGGTTGGAAAATTTCATATAATCTGTTTCGTAACATCCTTGTAAATAATTATCCAAATGGCAATTACTTCATCGATCTTATAAAAAAGAATTGTAAAAAACAAATGCAGTTTTTTTTTTTTTTTTTACTTTTTGGCTACTTAAGAAAAGGTATTATTATTAATATTAAAGACGATACAAGTACTAAAAAAGTTTATATTGTCAAAGAATTCAAATAAATTGAAACAAATTAATAAACGCTTAAAGTCCTTTTTTGGATTTGCCTTTATCAGGAACGATTCACAGCGCAAAATTTAAAAGCAAGTTGGAAACTTAGGTGCCTAATTCATTCTTAAGATTTCAACAAGAAAATATATGATAATATTACAAATCAAGTCTATTCATTTTGAAATAGCACTTGTTACATGAATAAAGGCTCTTTGACACGTGTTACTTAATGTAATCTGACGTTTTTAACCGCAGATATTATTAATATTATCATTTCAATATACTTTCAAACTACTCTTCCTGTGCCACCATAAGAGTTATTTGTACCCCTAGTAAATAGTTTAATCCTCTATTAAGTGGTGACTATTATTCTGCAATGGTACGTCAGTCACATGATGAGAGGGTTCGTTGGTATTGTCTGTCTTTTTGCTAGTTGATACGCTTTAGATATATCAATGTGTCTCCTTCACCTTTTTTTATTTTTTGATTCAAGCGTGACTGATATGTCTTTTGTTGACGAAACGCGCGTCTGGCGTTCACAATTTTAATTCTTGTATCTATAATGGGTAAATCTCCAAATAACAATAACATTAAACGTTAGTTCTCTCTGTATGCACATTTATTTCTGGCAAAATCAATTGTTACAAATGATCTTTGTGCTTCCTCATCAAAAATATATTGATCTGTCCATACGGATGTTACTGCAGTTTTCAAAATAAGAACGTTGTTTCATCAAAGATAAAAGATAAAACAACACTTTCTCGAGGCAGATTCTTTGAATTGTTATCGTGACAACTAAACAATATATTACTATTATGTTACCTTTTCAATTTAATAACCTAAAAATTAAGTTAATATATGTTATGAATAGAGCTACATGTACGCCATATATGTTTCTTCAATTGTGTCACTGTTATGATTGTGTCTTTTAAAAGTTTTGTCTTGCGTTTATAGAGGACTTCATCGACGAAGTATGCGAGCTTGATAAAATCAACAGGAAAGAAGCGTCCGATAAATTGCTTAAGAAAATAACCGAAAGAAGTGACCTTCTTCCAAAGTTCATATTGGCTTTATCCGATTAAGGTAAGGCGTATTTGGTAGACTATAGTAAAATAAGTTGTCAAAGCAAAAACATAAATAAATCAAGGAAAAATATTATGTCCACAACTGAAATATATAATCAAACATATCATGATGAAAGTGTCCTTTCATGACAACTCTTATTCTATTCTATATAGAAATAAGAAGATGTGGTATGAATGCCAATGATACAACTCTCCATCAAAGTCACAATGTGTAAAAAAACAATTATAGGTCAAAGTACGGCCTTCAACACGGAGCCTTGGCTCACACCGAACAGCAAGCTATCAAGGGACCCAAAATGACTTGTGAAACATAATTCAAACAGGAAAACCAACGGTCTAATCTATATAAAAACGAGAAACGAGAAACACTTAATAACCACATCAAATAACGACAACCACTGAAACAGGTTCCTGACTTAAGACAGGTGCAAACAAATGCAGCGGGTTTAAACGTTTTAACAGGCGCCAACCTTCACTCTAACCTGAAATAGTAGTGTAACATTACAACATAGAAAGATACACTATAAAATATCAATTGAAATGACTTAATTCAATCAAAAAGACATATTAACAAAAACAAGTAAACATACATTGAACGAATAAATTTGATCTATGACACAATGTCAAAAAGACAACTATAACCTTGGACAAAATCACTGAACAACAGGCTCCTGACTTAGGACAGGTGCATGAAAAATGCATGAAAAATGCAGCGGGTTTAAACGTTTTAACAGGCGTCAACCTTAACCCTAACCTGAAACAGTGGTATAACATTACAACATAAAAAGACGAACAATAAGTTATCAATTGAAATGGCTTAACTCGATATACGTGTATGACATATTATAATTAAAAAAGATGTATCAATATCAAAAAGACAACTTTAACCTAGGAAAAAATGCCGTTAAATAAAGTAACGTACACAAGTAATTTTCAATATAATAATTTTGTTGTTAAAAAAGAGGGACGAAAGATACCAGAGGGACAGTCAAACTCATAGATCAAAACAAACTGACAACGCCATGGCCAGGAGTACGGAGATAGTTTTTACAAAATAAATAAATTTGTTGTTCATAGTACGAGAACAGCAGTGAAAATTTATCGTCATACTAAATACTTATCAAAGGTGGTACATATTAAAAATAGTGAGACGAGATATAACACAAAATAAGTACACATTGAATAACAAAAATGCATAACAAATTGTGTTATCGGTCAAATAAAAACGAAAGTACGATTTATACTCTTTATTGACCCAATGACGAATAATATATATTGATATTGTTGCAACTACTTATTTTTATAATGAAGAATGTTATTAGATTTCAATAGTCAAGTAAGAAAAACAGGCTGTTTATTGTTCCCACTGAACAGATGTAAATGTTATTTCAGGTTATCAAAGATTTGTTGATCCTATTAGCAACATTTATCCAGACAGAGGGAGGAAGTTTTGTCAAGAATATTTTGAATTCATAATTAATTACCTATCAGGAGATTTAGTTGATATATTAGAGCCTTTGCAGCTTTGTGCACATTTATATAAAAATAGATGTATTGAACAAAGTGATAAAGAAGCAATTGAAGCAATGCAGTCCTCAAGAGGAAGAACTGATGCGTGTCGAGAAATGTTCCTGGCTGTGAAACGCAAAAAAGATAACTGGGCATTACTTCTCTTAGAAGCTATTAAAGAGACACAAGAATATGTAAAGTTAAAAATGGATCCATCAGCATCTGAGGGTACAGAAATAGTTTTCACAAATATGTCATATATTTCAAGTTGTTTTCGTTTAGATAACATGTAATACGAGCCCCCATTAACAAAGTATGTTCCTTCAATAACATGTTATATAATTCATATAGACAAATTTGGGAAGGATTAGGTAATAAATGAAAACATATTACGACAGATTACACGTTGTGGCCAAATCGAAGGTAGCTAAAAAACGAAACTATTATTTTTTCTGTGATAATTTCGGGTGAACACAACTGAATAAACACATTTGCTAGTATAGTTCATTATGTTAAGCGTGTTCCAAATATTGATTGTTTAATGCTTTCTTTTATAATGGGCAGTTTTTCTTTCAATTTCTGATGTTTCTCCTTTTGGTGCAGAGTGTAGACATAAGCCGTAGTCAGACAAAACAGTGAAGGTTGATTCAGAGATTGGGATTTGTTGAAGTACGATATTCGAAAATTTTGTGAACGCACTATTCATTTGGCTGACCTTTAATGAATATATATGTCGCAGATAACCACGGATATGTTCCATTTGTGGTAGTCACATTTCCGTCCTCCATCATCATTTAGGAGTGTCATCGATTGCATTTTACAGCCAGATTAATTATACGAGCTCATGACGGGTGTGACAAGTGGTGTAGGAATTGCAGCGTATTCCTACGGCAAACATAAGTTCACCCCTACTTTACAGTCAGTTTTATGTTGTTAAAGTTTTAGTGTTTGTGCTAATTTTTTTTACTTGTCTTTTTTAAATCCTAAATTGATCTAATATAAAGTAAAAAATCCTCCATTTAGATATACTTTCCTTATTAGAGATCTTTTAATGTTGCTTTTTGTTTCTTTGTTTTACACAGGAATATTTTTCTTGTGTGAATTTTAATTGAATCTTACGTCAAGTTCACGTTAGAACTTTACATGAAATTCACCTCAAACGAGCTTGTACGTGAAACTCACGTGAACATTTTCACATGAGTGTCACGTGAATTGAGATTCACATGAATCTCACGTGAATTTCACATAAACGTTTCCAAAACAAATGATGTAAATGTTTTGATGATAATAAAACTTAAGGGATATGATTGAATAACCTTGTCTGTCGTTTTGTTTCGTCCGTTCGACCAATGAATATTATCGTCACACTTTTCTCGTGTAGTACTACACAAAATGACATCTATCTCCTGTATACCAACACGTTCAATGTTTTCAATCTGTTAAAGAATTATTTCATAATAAATCAGTAGCTTTGCAGTGATGAGTTGAAACCTGTCAGCATTTATTTTATTTGTCATACACGTACGTCCAGTGTTCAATACATCGAATTGCGATTAAGGTGTGCTTAGTACAACAACGCGTACATTCTTGCTCAATCAACAGTCACAATATTGCATAGTATTCCAACACATGAATTTTACATTAGAAATTATCATTATTATAATGTTTATTTCTTTATCAGGAAAACACACGCTGTTATTTTGAAAACCACAATTGCTTTGTTAAAAGATTAAGTAACATATTTAACTTTTCCTTCTGTACTGAAATACTCTAGTCTGTTGTAGAAGAGTTAGAAAGGACTGGAATATTACTCGCTAGCACAAAACAGCATAATCACAGTGATTCGACATTTTCAAAGAAAGGTATGTCAGAGCTATTTATAGTATACTATAGGGTATGCGTTTTGCACATTGTAAAAGGTCGTAAGGTGACCTATTGTTGCTCACTTTCACCTCATGTGGGGTCTGGTTGAAAGTTGTTTTAGCGACATACATTTCATGTTTTCTTTTTATCATAATGTAGAAGTTTGATGAAAAGATACATGTCACTCAGTTCATGCGGCAAAACAATATCATTATAAACTAATGACCGTAAATATACATTGTGAACATTTTGGTTCAATGTAAGATTTTATCTATATCTGAAACTTACTGTGTTATGTAGTGTACATATCTTTTTGGGACAGTCGATTATTTATCAGCTCCATTATTACTCCACGACTATATATTTTCATTTTGTTGTCAGTAGAAATGATTAGAAATTTCCAGCGGAAATATAAATGAAAATGTAATAAACTTTAATGAAGGTCTTAAATATTTTCCTTGAGTTCCGATACGTTGTGCGTCTGGCAGTGAAGTATTTCAATTCGATATCAAAATCAACTTGGAATTTGTAATATTTAAACGATATTATCTTTTCAATTGCGGAATAAATATCAAATAAAACAAATCAAGCTTGATCTATGGCTGAGACACAAATGTGTATTGCTGTGCGTTTTTTCTTCCACATTGTCTAGAGGTATAGGGGGAGGGTTGCGATCTAACAAAACGTGTTTAACTCCGCCGCATTTTTGCGCCTGTCCCAAGTGAGAAACCTTTAGCCTTTGTTAGTAGTCTTGTATGCTTATATTTCGAATTTTAATGAGACGTACATTTTTGATGAACAAGTGAACATTTTTAAGGGGCCATCTGAAGCCCGAATCCAGATGCAGAATTTTCGCGCTGCGTTGAAGACCCATTGGTGGCATTCGGCTCTTTTCTGCTCTTTGGTCGGGTTGCTATATCTTTGACACATTCCCAGTTTCCATTGTCAATATCATATTTCAAAATACACGCTGTATCTTAATGTGAGGTAGATTTCACTATCTAATTTGATATAATTACTCTCCTTTAAATCATTGTTGTTACCCTCGGCGTAATTTGATGTAAATCTACAATATATTTTAACTACTCGAGTTGAATTGAAAACTAACTACTGTTTCAATTGTCGTTACTACGATTCCGTCCACTATTTAACGAATGTGACCTACCGAATAAGACTTATTACCGGGTTCGCACTAACAAGAGAAACACGACGGGTTCCACATGTGAAGCAGGATCTGATATCCCCCCAATATTTTGGTGGGGTTTGTGTTGCGCAGTCTTCAGTTTTCTATGTTGTTTGTTTGGAACTGTTGTTTGTCTGTTGATCCTTCTCTTTTTTAGCAATGGCGTTGTCAGTATATTTTCGACTTACGAGTTTGAATGTCCTTTTTGTATCTTTCGCCCCTCATTTACTGGTTAAAGACTATCTATGCTATGCTGGTCGTATTTCTGTTTAACCATTATTACTGGACACTCGATAATAATATTTTTAACTTCGAAATTCAATTTCACCTAAATTTACATTAACTTATCATTTAGAATATGTTTCACGTCATATACATCAGTCTTAAATATCTATGCAGTATATCATCTAAAATGTTGGTCTATTTTAGCAGAATCAGTACCATTTAAGTCGTCTTTCCAATTTGATGTTAACTTTCGACAGAAGTTTCAATTACAATCAACCCCTGATCTGGTAATTAGTGATTGTATAATCACCAATGACCAGTTGGTGTTTACTGGTTATTTCAGCAAAAGATTACATATCTACAATATATATGGAAGTTACAATCGAGAACTTAAATTGTCTAGTAGACCACAATGTATTGCAGTAATAAACGACGACGATGTTGCTGTCTCGTTTGATCAAAAGTTTATAGAGATAATTAGTATCAGCACAGAAAAAGTGAAGAATAAAATTGTAACACGTGGTTATTCTGGCAAAATATCTTATCAAAACGGCTTAATGTATGTTGTTATTGATTACCACACGATAGATGTAATAAATATGACAGGGGAACTAATCCGATCTTTCCATTGCCTTTTAAAATCAACGGTACAATGCCTATCACCTGATATCGACAGCTGTTTCCTCACTTATCCCTTCAATTACGCTTTATACTGCTGTGACTTGAATGGATCAAACAGATGGAATTGTACTTTTGATACGAAAATTAAGCAGCAGCACGTTACAACTGATGGAAATGGTAATGCTTATATTGTTTGTTATGAATCTAACAATGTGGTTGTGGTATCACCTGATGGTAGACATAATAAAGAACTATTTACTGAGAAAGAAGGACTGCAAATTCCGACGATAATTTATTACGACAAATCAAACGACTGTCGTTTGGTGTACAATAGTGGGTCTTGTGATGCATTTCTATTTGATGTAAAAAGTTCAACTACAAATGAATGACTGTCATTTTAGTGATAAAATCTATATTGGTTAACTTAATATTGTTTCAAATTTGAATAATGAATGCTTTCTAAAATTATTCATATTCTGTAATATTTACTGCGCTGTACCTAATTTTATTTTGACTGAACAACAAAATATTTGTCATACATGCTATATTTTTATATTTTTTATCCCACAGAAATGTATGAGATATTAAATGTGAAGGAGATGACTTTTTCTGGATGGATGGATTGATTGATTTTTAACGTCCAGTTACAAACTAAATATTTATTAAGGACCAGAGCATGATAGTATGTATGAATATAAACCTTGCTTTTGTACGAGACCGACACGCAGATCAGGATTTTCAACGTGTTATTTCACAAGGTAACCATGGTAACAGTCTGTGTCATCCTAGCTAGGACACATAATTTTGTCTCCGAGTCTACCAGTCTTTACTCTTTCTTCTAAATGTCGCATGGCTTACACGAGAGCGGATGATTCCAATTTTCAAGTTTTTGGTTTTACTTGGCCAGAGTTCGGCCTGACTGTTTTCCTTAACATTTACTGAAACGTTTGATAGAGGAAAGTTTTGATTGATCGACGATATGTTTGTTGAGTTTGGAGGATTGATATTTCAACAGACAGTCGGTATTATAATGGGTACTAAGTGTTCGCCCCTACTGGCCGATTTGTTTTTGTACTCGTATGAAGCAGAATTCGTTCACAACCTTCTAAAAGATTTATTGATGATGTCCTTTTACTGAATAACCTCTATTTCAGTCAGTACTGACATCTCATATATCCCAGTGAACTAGAAATTAAGGATATTAATGATACTAGAAGGACTGCTTCATACCTTTGTCTTTTCCTCAATATTTACAAAGGCGGACGATTTCACATTATAATCTATGACAAACGGGATGATTTCAACTTCCGTATTATCAATTTCCCATTTCTCAGTAATAACATACCCTCTGCCCCATCGTATGGTGTTTACATATCTAAGTTGATACGTAATGCTCGTACATGCTCACACTATACGGACTTCATATACAGGAATGTGCTCCTTACGCAGAAACTACTCCAACAGAGTTATGAGGAGGAAAGATTAAAAATGAAATTCCGAATTGGTTGATTTTTACGACGTATCTGTGTGTAAACTAACTAACGACATTTTTACCTCGTCTTAGATTGTGGTTAGACCTGTAACAAGTCAGGAATATGGCAGTTGTTATCAAATAGTCCGTTTATATGTCTGTTAGCGTTTGTTTTTGTTGCAGGTCAGTGTTTCTGTCGTTCCGTTGTTTTCCTCTGATAGTTGATATGTTTCCCTCGGTTTTGGTTTGTGACCCGGATTTGTTTTGCTTAATCGATTTATGACTATTGAACAGTGGTATACTACTGTTGTCTTTATTGATAACATAATATACCTTTTCTTTTCTTATTTATGTTTAATGAAGCCATTATTTTGATTTCTTAAATATTAAAACTTAATTGAATCGACAAAAAGTTTTGTCAATAATATAATACGTACCCAGGACTTTTGCCTTGTTGCATTCAAAATAAAATCCAAATATTAATGTTTTATTAGTCACGATAATTGCAACCTGTAACGAAATCGACATTTGTATATGGTGTGCTGTCTTCTGTCATTCTTGTTGCATAGCTGTTGGTGGAGCTGATAAATGTTAATGTGTCCGGGTTGCGTGACATTTAAAATATACACATATAGAACTTCCGAATTATAATTTCGGAACACACAACCTTCAGTTTTGGCTAAAATAGGAGAGAAAGAGGCACACGATTTTTGGTTTTTCACTTTTTTTATCAGAAGGGTACCTATTGAAGTTTATCCCAAAAACCAGTATCGTGCGAACTTATTCGGTATTATACATAATACAACTCTTCTGTCACGATTTCGATATTTAAGTTGTTTTACTTTTTATATGTGAGTGTATCTTAGCTGCTTCCAATACAAAAGTTCGTCGGTCTCTTACTGATATGTTTGTTTCTTTTACTTTGACAAATTGTTTAGACATAATTCATATCTGAGACACAGTGATGACTGCTGTACCCATATTTTGACTATTTTATTTATTATGTCTGTTTTGTTCACGCATCGTTGTAGATATAACGGCTTTGATGAGACTGTCATACAAGTGAGAGGTTTAGCGCTATAAAACCAGGTTCAATCCACCATTTTCTACATTTGAAAATGCCTGTACCAAGTCAGGAATATGACAGTTGTTGTCCATTCGTTTGATGTGTTTTGTCATTTGATTTTGCCACTTATTCAATTAACTGCATGTTGTCGTTAAGGCCAAATAATCTATGTTCCCCTCACTTGATGTTAGACAATGCTGCATCTTGTAAAATACAGCATCTCGCAATAAAACGAAGGTCAGAATAAAATGTTAAGTTCAATAACTTCGATAAGGTGGTAATTGCTCAGAATAAATTTCAAAAACAGTGACTTGAATTTATTTTACAAACGTTGGGAAGGATGTTGTGGTCTAAAACATAGCGGACTATGATAATTCTAAAAGGGGGAAGTCCTAACAATATTGACAAAATCAAACATTATCAACAAATAGAACGAGTGAAAAGCAAATGTCATATAACTTGACTTGATAACGTTTAATCATAAAGAATACCCTTTGAGTCGCCAATTATTAAAATGAAGCAGCTTCATTATGCTTGGTTGAACCTAGTTTTATACCTGGCTATTCCTGCTTCCTGTAAGGAAAAACCAAACTAATATTATTGTTATAGACATGTGCACATTTACGGTTCTACAATCTTTTGATAATTGTATTTTGGCATTGCACAAGGTCATGTTTTTCTCTGACTGTTAATTACGTATTCATACTAAATCAATTGGATGATTGATGTGTACTGGTCCGAGGACACATTTATCGTCCTTTGGTTTTCGTTTTCTACAAATACAGTCCTTAGGCTAAGTGTGGACAATGTATAACTTGCTATTTTTCTTTCATACACTTTTTAATTATTTTTTTATATTTGATGCATGACATATTGAGTAAAGGAATGTAATTACATGTTAACCAAATTTGGGTAAAGGATTTTTATGTAAAGTAGTGATTTGGTCCAGTTAAAAAGGTCAATAGCTAGTATGTCCAATGCTGTCAAACTGAACTATAGATCCCCTAAACATGGAAGTGTCCATATTTTGAGTTTGAGCCAGTAGACTTTTCTATAATTTATCGGGGTGTCTTTTATGATAATAAAATGATCAGTTTAGATCAAATCGACCAAATGACAACATTTATTTATTTATTGTGACGCTCTGATAATATTTTTGCGAAAGGGTATGCGACACCTATTTGAACATTCGTTTCCTTCTTATATTTCTTTGATATCATTACTATTTGAATTGGTTCTGCGTGATATTGTAAAGTTTTTTATTACATATTTAATATTATAAAGAATAATTAAAGTTATTTAAAAAAATCGATATATTTGATTCTCCTTTTTCTTATATATTTATTAAATAATTTAACAAATATAAGAACAACATGTTAACTGTTTACCTGTTTTACTACAATTTACTATATTCCTTTGTTATTTTCTGTTTGCTATTAACGATCATGACAATTTTATAGGTCAAGAACATGTATTTTTAAATGTTTAGTGCAATTATTTCCTGGTCGCCATTTTGACTGTTATTATGTTTTGTTTACGCATCGTTGTAGATATAACGGAATTTGATGAGCCTGTCATACAAGTGAGAGGTTTAGCGCTATAAAACCAGGTTCAATCCACCATTTTCTACATTTGAAAATGCCTGTACCAAGTCAGGAATATGACAGTTGTTGTCCATTCGTTTGATGTGTTTTGTCATTTGATTTTGCCATGTGATTAGGGACTTTCCGATTGAATTTTCCTCGGAGTTCAGTTTTTTTGTGATTTTACTTTTTACACATGTATCCAACATTTATTGTTTTAATTACTACAAAGTAGATGAAATCATAGATAATGGTTTATGAATGCATACATTTGGGAATAGCAGTCTTTTGTTAATAGTTTGCTCCAATCAATGATCTTTACTTCACTTGATTAAGTTTTACAACAAATTCAGATCACAGATACTAAGACAACTACAATCATATATTTTGGTGTAAGAAAGGATGCATCTTAAAAGGTATATTAGGTACACACAGACAAGACTACTTAGTGACTTATATTCATCTAAAGTGTTGTAATGATGACTAAAAATTAGCCTCATCCTATCCTCCCAATATGATATTCTGGCCTTTCTATCAACTAATTATTCAATTAACTGCATGTTGTCGTTATGGCCAAATAATCTATGTTCCCCTCACTTGATGTTAGACAATGCTGCATCTTGTAAAATACAGCATCTCGCAATAAAACGAAGGTCAGAATAAAATGTTAAGTTCAATAACTTCGATAAGGTGGTAATTGCTCAGAATAAATTTCAAAAACAGTGACTTGAATTTATTTTACAAACATTGGGAAGGATGTTGTGGTCAAAAACATAGCGGACTATGATAATTCCAAAAGGGGGAAGTCCTAACAATATTGACAAAATCAAACATTATCAACAAATAGAACGAGTGAAAAGCAAATCTCATATAACTTGACTTGATAACGTTTAATCATAAAGAATACCCTTTGAGTCGCCAATTATTAAAATGAAGCAGCTTCATTATGCTTGGTTGAACCTAGTTTTATACCTGGCTATTCCTGCTTCCTGTAAGGAAAAACCAAACTAATATTATTGTTATAGACATGTGCACATTTCCGGTTCTACAATCTTTTGATAATTGTATTTTGGCATTGCACAAGGTCATGTTTTTCTCTGACTGTTAATTACGTCTTCATACTAAATCAATTGGATGATTGATGTGTACTGGTCCGAGGACACATTTATCGTCCTTTGGTTTTCGTTTTCTACAAATACAGTCCTTAGGCTAAGTGTGGACAATGTATAACTTGCTATTTTTCTTTCATACACTTTTTAATAATTTTTTTATATTTGATGCATGACATATTGAGTAAAGGAATGTAATTACATGTTAACCAAATTTGAGTAATGGATTTTTATGTAAAGTAGTGATTTGGTCCAGTTAAAAAGGTCAATAGCTAGTATGTCCAATGTTGTCAAACTGAACTATAGATCCCCTAAACATGGAAGTGTCCATATTTTGAGTTTGAGCCAGTAGACTTTTCTATAATTTATTGGGGTGTCTTTTATGATAATAAAATGATCAGTTTAGATCAAATCGACCAAATGACAACATTTATTTATTTATTGTGACGCTCTGATAATATTTTTGCGAAAGGGTATGCGACACCTATTTGAACATTCGTTTCCTTCTTATATTTCTTTGATATCATTACTATTTGAATTGGTTCTGCGTGATATTGTAAAGTTTTTTATTACATGTGTAATATTGAAAAGAAAAATTAAAGTTATTTAAAAAAAATCGATATATTTGATTCTCCTTTTTCTTATATATTTATTAAATAATTTAACAAATATAAGAACAACATGTTAACTGTTTACCTGTTTTACTACAATTTACTATATTCCTTTGTTATTTTCTGTTTGCTATTAATGATCATGACAATTTTATAGGTCAAGAACATGTATTCTTAAATGTTAAGTGTAATTATTTCCTGGTCGCCATTTTGACTGTTATGAAGAAATGAGTTTATTTTGAAACAGAGATGTAGTTTAAACAGATCATTAAGTATTTTATCATTGAGTTGAAATGTACATAATCGGAGTAATATAGGTTTAAAGAAGCAATGACATGGTTGAAAGCATACAGTTTTCTATATATTTAATTATCTTTCGTGTGTAAATGGCCGTTTTATTGAGTGAAACTATAAGTATACAGTTAAACTTGATATAAATTGGTTAGGACAGGTAAAGTATTCAAAAATATCTTCCGTGTTTATTTTGTTTTTTTCTTTAATACACATTATACCATAGCTGATATCATACCTTGGATAGTTCATAGGAATGTATATTAATCATGATTCATGTATGATTATCTTTATACTTAAAGCATTTCTGTTAAACCATCAAGGTACTATATATTCATAACAAAAACTATTTTATAGATTGTATGTGTACAATATTTATTTACGTACCAAATTGTGTAGCTGGCTTTTCTTTCTATCTATAGATATATATAAGCAAATGATAGGTGATTATGGAAGTTCATAAACCATATATTGCAATAACAAGTTATCACCCAAGTGACCTCGTTAACCACAGTGACTTCTTCATCAATAGAGTACATAGATACAGCAACACAGGTGAATTTCAGCAATAGTACAACAGTAAGGTTCGTAAAAAGAATAAGAAAATAAATGAACATACGGTTAATTATATTCAAATATCCCAGTTTCTTTTAATCTAAATTTAAAAACAAATTATAAGGAATGACTGTAATATTGTTTTCTATTAATGAAGAAATAACACCAACATGTGGTGAACACTGACTAACCGCGTAGCGTGTTATTCAGAAGTGTGCACCACATTTTTGTGGTTATTTCGAATTCTAAATTCTATTATTAAGAAGTAAATCATGAAAAACGTTGATGACGTCGCGGTCACAAAATTATGTCTATGAGCTGATAGATAAAAAAAATTCAGTCACCCAGAAGACGTGTTACATCCAAAATTAAATTATTGTTCTATTGATTCAGTCTCATTTTTGTCCCATAAATCATTCCAAACTTACTAAATAAAAAAGATGCACAACTTCCGTATTGTATTGCATTGTAAAAATAGCTATAACAATCAGAAATAAATCTTATGATTTTTACAAAGATAAATTTAAATAGTCAATTTTATATGCAGGTCTTGTTGCTCGTGTTAGTACAAACCCGTTGATTAGGCTAATTTGGTAGGTCACATTCAGTGAAAAGGCTACGGGATTGTAGTTACGATAATTGGAGCATAACGGTCAACCAAATCTTGATGGTGTCCGTAGAATTGACGAAGGAATGATCTCAACTTCACCATTTGGAACTCTTTGTTTAATAGCTTCCTTGTAAGCAGCTACCCTATATCAAGGAAATCATGATAGGGAATGCAAGCTATTAGTTTGTATTGGTTTGAATGGGGATTTGTAACAGTGGTTTCTAAACATAAGTTGTACAGAAAAATGAAGTTTGGAAAGAAGTAATGAATAAAGCTTCGTGCAAATGTGATAAATACCTAAAGGCTTTTGTATAAATGACATCTGGTCATTACAAGATACATCATCAAGAGTAGGTGAAGTATAATGACGATGACTTTGACTACGTCAACGTCGAGAAGTAGAGTTGAAAATGTTAGTCTTATTCACTGAGCTACAGGAAGGACTAGATAGAATACCTATACCATCAATTTTGTCATTGCAACTATATGGTTTCGCAGTTCTCAATTGTCGAATCCATTAGTCTTCCTTTTGTTTACGGAGATGTGTTGCAAGATGGGAATTATCCTGTGGTATATTGTTTCGATGATGCGAACTTGCATAGAAAGGATTGAATGATCAGGGTGATTAAAGCGTGGTAAACAATGTCGTTTGCATTGTCGTTGATATCTGATCTATGGCAGCACATACGTTTATTGAGCCTTCCTTTCGTTTCACCAACATATATGATCCGCAAAGGTTACTTTCTAATCCGTAGACGAGAATTGTTGATTCACAATTCAGATCATCATAACTTTTTGTAAAGTAATATTTTAAGGTAAATTGCAAATGAATTAAGCATCTGTTATTAAAATGTTTCAGGTTTTGCAGTTTTTGGTTGTACATTTAGAAATTAAACAGTGTTGTTCATAGTCATTACAGTCTAAAATGTTTTGTGGAAGAACTAAATACGACTGCGTACCAGATTATTACTGTTTTTATTAGTGTGATTATATAAATGTGTCATATTCTTGATGTTTGTCATGTCTGGTATTCGGGGGAGACCTGCCATTTCTGACGTCTGTTTCTGACCTTTTATACTGGGCGACTTCTGAGCCGGTATTCTGTTTTATCTTCGTAAATTCATGCATATTATGTTTCTGGGCGGATGATGTCCTCTGGGACAAAGTGTTCACCAGCAAAGACATCAACCCAGTGACTGTACTGAACAGATGATGTCCTAGGGGACAAAATGTTCACCAACAAAGACTTCGACCCAGTGGCTGTTCTGCACAGATGATGTCATCGGGGACAACATGTTCACCACTGAGACAACAATCCAGTTGTAGTACAAGGCAGAGGATGTCCTCGGGGACAAAATGTCCACCAGCAAAGACATCGACCCAGTGGCTGTACTGAACAGATGATGTCCTCGGGTACAAAATGTTCACCAGCAAAGACATCGACCCAGTGCCTGTATTGAACAGATGATGTCCTCGGGGACAAGATGTTTACCAGCAAAGACATCGACCCAATGGCTGTACTGAACAGATGATGTCCTCGGGGACAAAATGTTCACCATCAGAGACAATGACCAAGTGCTTGTACTGAACAGATGATGTCCTCGGGGACAAAATGTTCCCCAGCAGAGACAATAACCAGTAGCTGTACTGAACAGATGATGTTCTCGGGGACAAAATGTCAACCAGCAGAGACAACGATGCATTTGCTGTACTGAATAGATGATGTCATCGGGGACAAAAAGTTCACCAGCAAAGACAATGACCCAGCGGTTGTACTAGGCTGATGATGTCCACGTGGCCAAATGTCAACAGGCAGAGACAACGACCCAGTTGTTGTACAGGGCAAATCGTCCTCTGGGACAAGAAGTCAACCAGCAGAGCCTTCGGACCAGTGGTTGTACTCGGTGGACGATGTCCTCGAGGACAAAATGTTCCACCAGCAGAAAAATCGATCCAGTGGTTGTACAGGTCGGATGATATATTTTTATTAATACTTTGAATTCACTGTTTACTATACAGCTTACACTGTTTTTGCAATGTTGTTGACATGGTATATATATGTAGTACATGGATAGAAGCAACGTATGCTTCAAATTCTGTCTTACACATTTTGTACTGCTGATATCACAAAGCACCTTGAATCAAATTTTACTATTGTTCGTGTGCGGAATTTGGCAATAAGAATTAAAAGTATAATAGCATTGAGTACACACAGTTTTTGATAATTAAAAGTACACATACACATGAAATGCGTATTAAATAGACCCAGTTCGGACCCAACAGAGACCTCGGGATTCATCGTAAACGAATGTAGAACATAAATTCACAGGTCAAAAAGCCACGGACAAAGGTTAAAGATTGTTTTTCCATTCACTGTAAGAATTTGTGAACCTGTGAATGAATTGAATCTTTGAGAAATAGTCTTTCATATCATTTATTTACATCAATATATAACATTTTTTAGAAAATAATTAATTACTGGACAATATTTGACGATGTGAATTACGCTAAAGGTTTTCCAATTTGATCTGATTTGGATGAAGAAAGGCAACAGTAGTATACCGCTGTTCAATATTCATAATTCGATTAAGCATAAATAAATCCGGGTAACAAACTAAAACCAAAGGCAACACATCAACTATAAGAAGAAAACAACGGAACAACAGAAACACTGAACTACAACAAAAGCAAATACCAACGTACATAGAAACAGACTTTGTGGTAACAACTGCCATATTCCTGACTTGGTACAGGACATTGTAAGAAAACAATGGTGGGTTGAACCTGGTTGAACCTGGATGCGATTGACTTCATGTGAATTCGATTATAATATTACATAGACTTGGTAAGTGCACGACAACCCGTTTAACTTGTCTTATTTAATAATAGAAAAAGAATTTTCAATTTGGTAAACGGGACTAAGTTTTTAAAACTTTCTATCGAATCCAAATAATCTAGTTTGTAATAATCAAGTTTCAAACTGCCAATTCCTTGTTTGTTATAATTTCGTGTACACATGTTACTTGCACAATGTTGAAATCAAATACAAGAAATGATATAAATATGATGAGGGACATATTTCAAATTTTATATTAATCATTTTTTTTCCTTTCTCAATACTTTTTTTCATCTTCAGAGTATGGCAGAATCACAAACAGAATTGTTGAACCGAGTTTTTTTATTGGAATCAGAATTTTTGAAATTTTTGAAACCAACAGATGTTATATTCAACATCCAAGGACTGGAAGGTACCTTCAAATATACGACTTCAAAATCTTATTCTTATTCCATTGCCTGTAAAAGTTTTTTTTTATTTTTTTAATTCACAGTTGTTTGAATAAAAATGGTATGCCTCGATGATCAACAAAGTGACGTAAGAAATATTTGATTGATAGTACAAAGTGCTTGTCATGACTGCGATATATTTCTTATCTATTGTGGATGTGTCTCATTACAGTACTTTCCCACTATTGTCTGATACTGAACTGATATACAATTCTTTTCAGAGCCTATTCACAAACAAGAGTTACCCAAAAGTTAGATTGACTTCATAACGTTCGAATGCATTTCTAACAAAAAAATAACAACCCATGATATTTTAGTATAACGTATGTATAAATATAAGAGAAAGCGGTATAATTATAAATGAAACAATTCTCCACCTGAGACCATATGCCATAGAAGCTAACAACCATAGGTCACTGTACGTACGGCTTAAATTTATTTCTTTCGTTAATAGAGGACTTTATCGACGAAATATGGGAGCTTGAAAAAAACAATAGGAAAGAAGCGTCAGGTAGACTTCTTAAGAAGATATCAGAAAATAGTGACCTTCTTCCAAAGTTCATCGTAGCATTATCCGATCAAGGTAAGATATACATGGTTTATGTTTATGTTTAAATCCATTACATAAATAATGCAATAATAAATCTATCAACTAAACAATTGTTATAATGAAAAAAAATGACACTTATTGGAATGAAACGAACAAAATTTAGTAAAACACAACTCAACAACTTTATATGGGATCAGCGTGCCTGTCAATGTGCATCAAAGCTTTAATTTCATTTAAACAAACGCATACTAACAGTTGCAATTTGCCTAGAACGCTGCAGATAACAAGCACAAAAACCAACCAACAAGAATAAACATGAATCATATTATTTAACAGAAACTATGCTTGCCATTTTTAGTTTTTGCTATCAATCTACGAACCCATAGAAATACCTAAAACCTCTGCAATCATGAAACAATCAATACAACCTATACAATAATACCATGCCACTGCAGAATCAACAGAATTCTATTCAATATTTATTTGATCGTGCCAGATACAATTTAACATATAAAGGGGTCGCGTTGGATGCAAACATACCTGCTACAACGAACATATCAAGTAAATAACGACCATGCCTGTTACGATGCCCATTTCGGCACAATAAAACACTTTCCAATTCTCTACGAGAAATCTTTCAGGATTTCTGCGGATTATTAACTTTGCAACTCAACGGTAACTGCACAATCACCAAGGCTGATAGAATCACACTATAGCATAAAATGCGACTGATTATATTGGTCTGCCTTTACAAAATTCACGCTTGTTATGTTAAATCAATGCTGGTATTACAACTAAATTCTTAAACTAAATAACTATCCCACGACATTTTACTTTTTATAAAAAATATACAAATATTTTGTAATTATTTTAGAAATATTTCCAATCACAGGAAACGTACTCATAGTTCTACCCTTTACCTGTGCCTTTCACTACTGACCAAATTGCTCGTTTTGTCAGCTCACCCTGCCAACTATTGAGTCAAAAGGGCTGCAGTTTCTGACTCGGGTACATATTAACATAATAAGAATAAGAAGCCGTTTCATCAGTAGCTGGTATGAAGTTATTTTGTAAGGATACGAATGTCGGGGTTTTTTTGTTGTTATACTACGTATTGCTCTAGACTCCACTTAACGAGTGGAGTCTTACAAATTTGAAGCGATGATATTTGATTCATATTTTCTGACAGTAGCCCAACCACTGACTGTAATATCTGCTTTACGTATGAGTTAGTTCTGCAATCAATCTTATTTTTGGGGTCTATAATGATACGAGTGACCTTCGTTGCAGAACAGATTCTATTGCACTGGAGCTTTAATTCTATGGACATTTCTGTGTTTTGTTTTTTGTTTTTTTTTTAATAATGTCCTGCTTACTGACCAAATCTGATTTAAGATCTACTAGTTTATTGTCAAAAACACTTTGAAAAGTGCATATATATGGACAAAATCAAAGCGCTTTGATGCTATATAGTAACGATCTTGTGACATACCAGTTAAAAAGTGTGAATACTCAATCTAAACCTTCATACATTGGCTTATTTTTCTTTTAATTTCTTGGCTTCAAAAAATACAACTTTGCTGCACCGAAGGCGAACCTGAAATGACAATATCATCACACAACCGCTTTAACTAAAGCATGAAATGTTTGAATAGGCCTAACTCAGATATTATGGTCCGTTCTTACTCATCCATATGTTTACATACTGGTTCACATTGACTTTGATAGATATCTCTTGTGAAAGATAAAGCCAGACATATCATATTTAGCATTATTGCCTTTGCAGCTCTAGTTAATTCAATTGCCATAATTTATATTTGCATTATAGATGCTAATTTTTATACATACTGTTTCTTATTTGAATATTTGTATATGAACAGTGTTCCATACTTACAAATTTAAATTAGTGAAAAAGGCTTTTTACTCTTCTCAATATAATTATGTTATTTCAGGTTATCAAAGATTTGTTGATCCTATCAACAATATTTATCCAGACCGAGGGAGGAAATTTTGTCAAGAATACTTTGAATTTTTAATTAATTACATGAAAGGAGAACTAGCTGATATATTAGAACCGTTGCAAATTTGTGCATACTTATATAGAAATAGATGCATTGAACTCAGTGATAAAGAAGCAATTGAAGCAATGCAGTCCTCAAGAGGAAGAACTGCTGCGTGTCAAGAAATGTTCCAGGCCATGAAACGTAGGAAGGATAATTGGGCATTACTTCTGTTAGAAGCTATTAAAGAAACACAAGAATATGTCAAGTTAAAAATGGACCCATCAGCATCTCAGGGTGAGGAATGGTTTTAACAAATATTTCATATATCATAAGCTTTTTTCTGTTAAATAACATGAAATATGAGCACCCGTAGACACATAGTTTTCTGTTAAATAACATGAAATATGTACAACAGTAGACAAATAGTTTTCTTTTAAATAACATGAAATATGAGCCACCGTAGACAAATAGTTTTCTTTTAAATAACATGAAATATGAGCACCAGTAGACACATTGTTTTCTTTTATATAACATGAAATATGAGCACCAGTAGACGAATATTATTCTTTTAAATAATATGAAATATGCGCACCAGTACAAAATTGTTTTATTTTAAATAACATGAAATATGCGCACCACTAGAAAATTGTTTTCTTTTAAATAACATGAAATATGAGCAACAATAGACAAATATTATTCTTTTAAATAACAAAATTATGAGCACCAGTAGACACATATTATTCTTTTAGATAACATGAAATATGAGCACCAGTAGACTAATATTATTCTTTTTTAATGACATGAAATATGAGCATCCGTTGACAAATAGTTTTCTTTTAACTATCATGAAATATGAGCCACTGAAGACATAAAGTTTTCTTTTAAATAACATAAAAATTTGAGCACCAGTAGACAAATAGTTTTTTTTTAAAGAAAATGAAATATAAGCCGCCGTAGACACAAAATAGTTTTCTATTAAATAACATGAAATATGAGCAACAATAGACAAATATTATTCTTTTAGATAACATGAAATATGAGCACCAGTAGACTAATAGTATCTTTTTTTAATGACATGAAATATGAGCATCCGTTGACAAATAGTTTTCTTTTAACTAACATGAAATATGAGCCACTGTAGACACATATTATTCTTTTAAATAACATAAAATATGAGCACCAGTAGACAAATATTATTCCTTTAGATAACATGAAATATGAGCACCAGTAGACTAATATTATTCTTTTTTAATGACATGAAATATGAGCATCCGTTGACAAATAGTTTTCTTTTAACTATCATGAAATATGAGCCACTGAAGACATAAAGTTTTCTTTTAAATAACATAAAAATTTGAGCACCAGTAGACAAATAGTTTTTTTTTAAAGAAAATGAAATATAAGCCGCCGTAGACACAAAATAGTTTTCTTTTAAATAACATGAAATATGAGCAACAATAGACACATATTATTCTTTTAAATAACATAAAATACGAGCATCAGTAGACTAATAGTATTCTTTTTTAATGACATGAAATATGAGCATCCGTTGACAAATAGTTTTCTTTAAAATAACATGAAATATGAGCACCAGTAGACAAATAGTTTTCTTTTAAAGAAAATGAAATATGAGCCACCGTAAACAAAAAATAGTTTTCTTTTATATTACATGAAATATGTGCCACTGTAGACAAATAGTTTTCTTTTAAATAACATGAAATATGAGCCACCGTAGACAAATAATTTTTTTTTTCTAATACTATAAGCATGATATAATATGAATCTTTATATACAAATTACGTTCTTTTAAATTATATCTGATACGAGCCCATGGACAAATTTTGGAAGGATATTCAGGATGACATGATAAATGTAAAATTATACATAGGACTAAAACCAGATAAGCATGATTTTTCGGGCTCAGCTGAAGGTGGATAAAAAATAAAGCCATTGTCTTTTTCAGACTTTACTTCCAATGAACACTTCTTGGAGAACAAATTTGTCAAACATGGTTCATTCTGTGCGGCGTATTCCAACTGTAAACCTTGATAGAAAGTTAAAACACCCAATGCTAATTATGAAATACTTTCTTTTATAGTGCGTAGTTTTTGTTAGATATCTGCTATTAATATGTTTGGTGCAGAGTGCAGACATAACGTTTATCAGACAACATAGTGAAGATTATTTCAGATATTCGGGTTTTGAAGTCAAATCTTTGAATGTTTTTTGGACGCAATAGTTAATTGACTCTAATGTAAGGAAAATTTAAGCGCCAGATGCATGATACAAGCTACATGACATATTCTAAGACAGTTATATATTGTTTATTTATTTATGTGCTAGTTTTTTTGGGATTAGTCGTTCATCTTTTTACTTCTATTCATGGCTTTTGTCTGTCTATCGGCGAATGCTTTGTTTTCATTCGATCTGTTCCGTTTTGTTTTAATTTAAAATTTAGAATTCGGAATACTGTGAAAGTACTCCATCCATGAATTTAAGTGTCCAACGATATCAAACAACTGTTGTCAAAAACAAATAATGGAAAGATCCCTATGTAGGTTTGACTACACGGATACTGGCATAAACTCTAGGGGTCACATAAAATATCAGCAAAAGCACTATGAACTATGCATACAGCTTCAGACAGGATTTTACCAATTTATTTCTTTCAAAAAACCTAAACTGAAAGACTTTAAACATTAGATTTCTTATGAAAAGGAAGTTTAAATCAATGAATGTCAAGATTCCGTTAATGATTTGCGATGATGAAGTGTTCATGCGAAATCCATACTGGGTATTGCTTTTTCATTTCATAAGAATTAATTCAACAATTCAATATAGCATTTGTTTATGTAACCGTTTTCTTTAAGTGTCATGGTTATTGTCTTGTTACAATCGTTAATCTGTTTAACAATCGATCTCTGTGTAATTAGTGTCATTACTTTTGATTACACGTGAGCAACAATTGAAATGTTTATTTTGCAGTTTCGTTCAATTGAGACAATTTGTAACCATAATTGAAACAGACTTTTCTGAAAGTGTTTATTTTATATAAACAAAAGATGAATGTTGTCAGTAATGAAAGACAATGACCACAATAAGTTGCAGTATCCTACAAATCATTATTAAACAACTTAAAATTATTTTCAAGACTTTTCGTATCTTATTTCTTCAATTTTTTAACTCGTTTCTTCTTTTTCTTTGAAAGAATAAATCCACAAATTTAAAAACCCGCGAACATGAAACTTTTCTTCAAACCACGAAAATTGATACCCACGAATAAAACTACTTTTACAATAATTATATGCTCAAATGGTTTAAATATACATTACAATATGCTAAATATAGGAATTCTTTCCTTATAAGAGCTTTTTTGCTAGATGTTTTTCTTTCTTTGTTGTTACTCTTTTGTGTCTGCTTTTTTCTTCTTCTGTTTACGATAGTATTATAGTGTAGAGTAATGCATACTCTGCAGGGTGTGTAATAATTATAATATGTTTCCTTCCATATGAGGAAATTGTTGGAAAATTCAAAACCAGCGGCAAAATTGTATAATATATATATTTGTGTAGTTTGTTTTGGTGGGGAGGGACATATGTTCTTTTCACGTTTACAACATTGCAATAATAAAGAAGACCTGAATGAATACTATTATTCTCTAGTATTTGTTGTTTCGATATAGTTGCATTTTTCAGTGAAAAGTCAATATAATGTGATTAGCTACATAAGTTTCTGCCGAGAATTTCGACATGTGATTGAGAGCTGAATATTCATCCGATTATTGAGACAGCACCATTAAGATCAATACAATTGTTGTCAGTAAGATATCAATAAGTACAAATATAGTACTTTAAATTTCCTGAAACTGTGAGTACAATGAGTATAAAGGTACTAATTAGACCTTTATTCTAGTAGCATTGTTAAAATGAATAGAAAAATAGTGTGCAAACATAAACAAAATGTCAATAACCTTTATCTTTGGTGTTTTTCTATTATGTTCCAAAAAAAATATGTTTGCATTCCGATCAATATATGTATCATGACCTTTAATTAGGTACAATTGATAACAAAAGTTTGGAAATAAATTCAAGTTTAACGATAAACCGTACAAACAACAGAATGATCTCATCCATTGATGTACGGAACAAATTGATTAACAGTATTCTTTAGATTTTCAATGATCTAACTGCAAGTAATTTGATAACATAACTTATTAAAAAGAACAACACTATATATGCTATATTTGTTTTAAACTATATCATCAAACGCTTATGTAAATGTTTGGTATTTATAAGATTTAATGGATATTTTGCATTCACCTTGTCTGTCCTTTTTGTTCTTCCGTTTGTCCAACGAATATTTTCGTCAATCGTTTTTTTCATACAGTACTAAGCAGCATGATTTGTTTATTCCCGATTTGAAAGTGATGACAGGGTCATTTGATACGTGCCTTTTTCTTAATGGTAGACACCTTTTTAATGTACGGTGATAAGTTGAATTGTTCCAATGTGTTGAATGAAATTAAAAATTGTTCGTCAAACTTGTAGGCAACACTTTTTACAGAATAATTTCATATAAAGTCAGCAGCCTGGTCGTGATAAGTAGTAACCTATCAAAGCGTCAGTCAAATACGTGCATGAGTGTGTTCAATCTGTGATAAACAGTCAAAATATCGCCTCATATTCCAGCACATTAAGTTCACATTAGAAAGGAATGTAACTGTTATGTTCATTTTTGTTACTGAATGATAGAACATCTGCTGCTATTTGAAAACCCCAATCGCTTTGTAAACAGATAAAGTTCAATTATTAAATCCGTTCAACCATTTTCCTCTGTAGTTAAATACTCTAGTCTGTTGTAGAAGAGTTAGAAAGAACTGGTATATTGCTCGCTGGCACAAAACAGCGTTATCACAGTGATTCGACAAGTTCAGATAAAGGTATGTCAAAGCTTTTTATTGATTACTATAGGGAATGTATTATGCTCATTGTGGAAGTCCGTATTGTGACCTTTATATATATTTTCTTACATCCACCTCTGTTGGTCACTGTTGAACAAATTGTTGTAATGAGCTATTAATTTGATTAACAAAGAGATGTTGCTCACTTAAAGCGACAAAAATTGTATTAGTATAAACTAATATCACTAAATTCACAGCTTGGTGACCAAACTATAATAAGCTTTACCTTTGACTTATTTCTGTTGTTTCTTGAAACAACCTCTAATAGTTCCAAAATTATGATAAAATACCTACTACAATTCGAAAATTATGTCTTCTGGTTACAAAAAATATATAATAAATAACAAAATCTTGCTATGTTAAAAAAGTGGACATATCTTTTGGGACAGTCCATAATTTATAAGAAAATATTCTCTATCATTACTCCACGACTAGATTTTTCTTTATGTGGTCAGCAAATATGATAATGATATATCATCGGAAATATAAAGAGAATGTAGTAGGCATTTGTGAAGTGCTCAACCATTTTCCTAAAGTTCCAGTATGTTGTGTGTTAGGCAGTAAAATATTTTAACGAGATAATAAAACCAACTTAGAATTTGTAATATTTGAACGACATTTTCCCTTCAATTGCAGAAAAAAGCTTTAAATTAAACTCATACAACGTGATCTGTGACTGAGACACACCACTGTATATGTTAGCAATTCCACATTGTTCATTATTGTAAAATATTTTCTAATCTCTAATTTATTACAACTGCTCTCATTTCAATATTGTTTGTTAACAGGGTTATCTGAATATTATACTAGGGTCTATTTTGGATACATGAATTAAACTAAAACGTTCTATTGATTCAAGACTATCTAGGATATGGATTGTAATGTCTGTTTAAAATGCATGTATTACTAAAAACTACTATAATTATAAGAAAGAAGTTGTGGTATGATTGCCAATGAGACAACTCTTCATAAGATACCAAATGACACAGACATTTACAACAATAGACCACCGTATGGCCTTCAACAATGACCAAAGCCCATACCGCATACATGGCATAGTCAGCTATAAAATGCTCGAAATGACAAATGTAAAACATTCTAAACGAGAAAACATATTTTGTATTTAGAGTTATTCATTTTCACCTACATTCACCTTTGGTAATCATTTTAAATATGTATCACGTCCTATAAAGTATATATTAATAGTTTGAATCATATCATCTTAAATATTTGTCTATTTTTGCAGAATCATTACCATTTGAGTCAACTTTCAACTTTGATGTTAAACTACGACAAAAAGTTCGACTTCAATCGATTCGAAATCCAATAATTCATGATTGTATAATTACCAATGACCAGTTGGTGTTTACCGATTATGTCCGAAACAGCTTACTGATCTATGCTATAAATGGAAGTATCAATAGAGAAATTAAATTGTCCGGTACACCTTTTAATATATCAGTAATAAACGACAACGATATTGCCGTCTCATATAATCAAAAGTTTATAGACATAATCAGTATCAACACAGGACAAGTAAAGAATAAAATTGTAAAAAGTGGTAATACTGGTTGGATATCTTATCAAAACAGACTGATGTTTGCTGATATTGATCACCAGAAGATAGATGTAATGAATCTGACAGGGGAAGTAATCAGATCTTTCAATCGCCCTTTAAAATCATCGGTACTATGCATATCATCTGATACCGACAGTGTGTTCTTCACTGATCCCTCAAATAGTACTGTATATTGTTTTGACTTGAATGGATCAGACAAATGGAGGTTTACTGCTGATATGATGAAATCACCGACCGGGGTTACCACAGATGGGAATGGTAATGTTTATGTTGTTTGTTATATCTCTCACAATATTCTAGTGGTATCACCTGATGGTAAACATCATAAAGAATTACTTACTGAGAAAGATGGACTGCAAAACCCGACAGGAATATATTACGACAAACCAAACGACTGTCTGTTGATGTACAATAAAAGGAATTGTGATGCGTTTCTATTTGATGTAAAACATTCACATTGAAATGAATGAATGCCATTTAAATGATAAAACTTTTATGGGTCAATTGAACGTTTTTTGTATTTTAAATTTGATTGATGAATTCTTTCGCAATTTTATCAAATGTAATATTGATGATACTACGCTGTACGTAACATACTTTTAATCTGAACAAACGAATATGTGTGATACATGTTATATTTTGATTGTTTTTCATCCCATGAAAATGTAGAAGACAATAAATGTGAAGGATGTGATTTCTATGAAATTTGTGAAACAGTCAATTGCACTTATAGCAATTTAATTATACATAAAAATAAGATAATATACTTGATCAGTTACTCTCTGATATGGTAATGCTCTATAACACATATTAATAGATGCTCCAATATGTTTTTTTTAATAAATTTTATAAAAGTAACAATTGTGAAAAGGCACGACGAGTGAATGACGTTATTGTCGTCGTTTTTATTTGGATTCATTTATTGTTTGTTTGTTCGATTCATGGATTTTGGTTTCTTCCGTTCCCTTTTAATGTACATCTGAATGTAATTGCTTCTTTTTAATTATTTGGTGAAAGTTTAAATCACATTGCTATTTTCAAAGACGGTATTCTGAACTTGAAATGTTTTAATTAGGATGAATAATTAGTTATCAAAGGTACCTGGCCTATAATTTAATACGCCAGACGCGCGTTTCGTCTACTTAAGACTCTTCAGTGACGCTCAGATCAAAATAAATATAAAGCCAAACAAGTACAAAATTGAAGATCATTGAGGACCCAAAATTCCAAAAATATATGCCAAATATGGCAAAGGTAATCTATACCTGGGATAAAAAAAAATCCTTAGTATTTCGAAAATTCATATTTTTGTAAACAGGAAATTTATAAAAATTACCATATAATTGATATTCATGTCAACACTGAAGTGCTGACTACTGGGTTGGTGATACCCTCGGGGACGAAACGTCCACAGCAGTGGCATCGACCCAATGGTGTAAATAGCTATCAAAGGTATATGGTTTATAATTTAATACGAATAAATGGGTTACTGTTTATCGTCCAGTGGCAAATAAAAAACAACATAAATACATTAATATGTTGCACTACAACGACACGACACAAAGCCGGTTTTAAATGCGTATGAAGGCAGACTTGTCAACTTAAACGGACACATTATTAGAAACTCCGAGCCGGGCCGATGTGAGACCTTTTTTTTTTGTTTTGAGCCCAAAACTCCGGTACACAATGTTTTATATCGATTCAACTGACTAATACGGTTTTAATTTGAATGTCTATTTTGTTGTTGAAAATGTACGAACAATTGTCTTTTTGCATGTACAATAAGTACATAAAATATCCTCGGTCGAAATAATTCAATGTATAATGCCTACTGCAAAAACTACACCAGATAGTGAAATGTTTTTTTTTTAAATTAAATCAGAGTGTTTGCAGAAAACTCCACTTGCATCACAAAATATTTGCTAAGAAATTCGATTAAATTTGAAAATCGAAAATATTCCAAAGTCAGTGCATGAGAGTGTCGTTGCTCGAGTTGATTTAACAATCCAGTAAAATTTGCTTGTGCATTAGAAAGTCTTCTACGTAAACAATATACTAAATCTACTTGCACCTTTCCATCCCAACATATACGGGAAAGTTACACAACGTATCGTACGAAAAATAACTGCAGCTTTGTGTAGTATGAGACCTTCATCAGTATCATGTGTTGAAACAGTGCTCTGGTCATGAGTTCTGATAGTTTTCAAATCGGCTTTAAGGCGGTTAGTTGTATTGGTGGCTTAAGAGAGAAACATTGAGCTGATGTAAACAATAATATACAGCCATTACCCTTGTTGGCACTGTATGACAGTAGTATTTCAAATTTTTATTGAAGATATATTGACAAGGTTGTAATACAAAGTGAAGCATTTCCGTCACTTGCGGATACTTCATTGAGCCAGTCTCTAAAAATTATGCCCCTGTTTTGAAAACGTTCTTATAGAAGGTGATTCCTATGGAACTGCAAATAAAAACAATGAACTACCCACAGCAATTTCCAAAAATGCCTTTCATTAGCGGAAACGATAGTGCCAATAAATAGAAATTCGTTCACGACTTTCACCTTGGTTTAGCATTACAAATACATCATGTATGTGGTTCCTAATGTCTTGACGAAACTTTGCATAGTCATGGGTTTCGTCCTTACAACTAGCTGAGATGATTGCTAACTAGCTTAGCCAATCAATATATTGACAAGATTAAGAATTTAGGATAAAGAATTAAGCTATTAGCCATCTCCTGGGTACGTTAACCTCATTCAAGAAGGTGAAGACATTGTTCGCATTACTACGAAAAAAATAGATAGTAAGATGTTTTTTCATTCAATGACCAATGTTTCAGGTTCGAATTATGTCTCCTACCAACGAAACTGTGAATGTTATGAGGATCAAACGTTACCAAATGCGTACCTTTCCTGTAACAGAGGCCATATAGATTCTTTGCAATACGTCAGAAACCTAGTTACTTCAATGGAGTTTGGAGTGATATTTCGAGTCTTTTGTCTTTTGATCACAAGAATGTGCATACCTAATTGAATTGGCTTTCCACACATGCTACACTTTTTGACAACCCAGTAATTAGCGGCATGTTAAAAATGTAAATTAGCTTATTAATTGGTTTCATAACCCGACTGTGTCATCATTTATAAATTTATTGTTTTTGCTGATGTTTACATCGAAAAACTAATAATACACAATGAAAATGGAAGTTATAAGCAGGATATCAAATTGTCTGGTGAACCGTGCGGCATAACAGTAATAAACAACAGGGAGGTTGCTGTCTCATATAATACATCGTCTATTGAGATAATTAGTATCAATACAGGACAAGTACAAAATGAGATAAGAACAAAAAATACCAGCAACATAATATCCTATCAAAACAGTTGACTGTTTATCCATTTGTATAATTCGCGCATTGTAGAAGTTATGAATCTTGAAGGAAACAGAATCCGATCATTTTCATGGCGGTTATCACCAGGTCTCCCTTTAAGAGAGTGCTTAGCAATTAACAACGACAGATTGTTCCTCACTAATGCATTTGTTCTTTACTGCTGTGACTTGTATGGGTCAGTCATATCGCAGTTCAATGATCATATGGTGAGGGTGCCGATAAGTGTTACCACAGATGGGTTTGGTAATGTATATGTATGTAGTTTAAACTCCAAAAATGTTACAGTTATATCACCGGACGGTAAACAATATAAAGAACTACTTACTGAGAAGAATGGAATGGTGATGCCGAGATGTGTTCATTATGACACATTAAGCAACTGCCTGTTAGTGTGTGATGCATGGAATAGTGATGCCTTTCTATTTGATGTAAAACAAGAATAATTGTATATCGTCTCTGTGAGAATACTAGTATGAGTATATCATACATTTTTTCAAATTTGATTAACTTATATGTTTGTATTTCATTTATATTCTGTACTATTTGAAAGACTGTGCTTCTCTTGGTGTTGAATAAAAGAGATTTTTTTTTTTTTACATTTTTGTTTTACATAGAAATGAAGAAGATAATTAAGATTTACTACACTTGATATATTTATATTCAAAAATATTCATATAAAACTCATGTAGCAGTCGTTTGTACTAATTCTAAATTTTTTATACTATCAGCTACTGCTTAACACTTTAAAAAAATCATTTAGATTACATTGAATAAGGTGGACTTGTAGATGAATGAATTTGCAGTACAATTCTAATGTTGTTTTAATTGTTTTTTTTTGTTGATAATAGAAAAAAAAAAACTCACCCAACGTTGTACGCCAGTCGCAACATATGATAACGGCCCTGATCACATAATTAATGCAGCTTTTGGACCATGATCATGTTATTGTCTTGAAGCATCTTAGATCGTTGTCGAAGTTTGCGTGGTTCTATTTGTTCAATCTATTTTGTATTCTTGTGGTACTTTGTGGAATGTGTTTTCGTCGGTTTTTTTTCATTCTGCTTAAGTATTTTGATGGTAAATATAGATATTGTCCCGTTGGTATCTTACTCTCTTTTTAATAAAAGTATTATATTAAGGTTTTTGAGTCTTTTCCCAATTTAACGACGAATGTAGATAGTCCGTATGTTCAACCATGATTTTTCTAGACTCCAGTTGATTATAACCTCAAATCATTTTATTATCAGAGACAGTATGTTAAGCTGTTGATTAGTTTAGATCAGGAATTAATTTGTTTTTTTAAGATTGCTTACATTTACTCGTAACCCGACCTTTGCCTTCAAATAAATTACTATCTATTAGGTATCATGTTGGGATATAAACGTCTATGGAAAAAATGATACATTTAGTGTATTTATCAATAAATCAGGGCCGATATTTTTTATGTGGGAACTATGTAACATTTTGTCATGTCGGCCGTTATAATCTTACTTAGCTGTCTGTAACTGCGATACTCTCAGATCTGTACATAGTGTCTTTTTGTTGTTTGGATGTACAAGTAACCGGCCACGTCCACTTGTATTTGTAGTATTTGTATTTTTATCCATCTGATGAGTTAAGCCTCTTTCAACTGATTTTTATAGTTCGTTCTTATGTTGTACTGTTACACCACTGTCCCAGGTTAGGAGGAGGGTTGGGATCCCGCTAACATGTTTAACCCCGCCACATTCTGTATAAATGTGCCTATCCTAAGTCAGGAGCCAGTAATTCAGTGGTTGTGTTTATGTGTTACATATATTTTGTACATAAATTAGGCCGTTAGTTTTCTCGTTTGAACTGTTTTACATTGTCATTTCGGGGCCTTTTATAGCTGACTGTGCGGTATGGGCTTTGCTCATTGTTGAAGGCCGTACGGTGACCTATCGTTGTTAATTTATGTGTCATTTGGTCTCTTGAGGAGAGTTGTCTCATTGGCAATCATACCACATCTTCTTTTTTATATTCATTGTATGAAATATGATCATTATTCATGGCTGCAATGGACCTATAGTTAATTAATCTATTTTCGTCGGTCTCTGATAGTTTTGGAATTGTACCCTTATTGTCATGCAAATAGAAGTATAGTATAGTTTGCTTTTTTTATTTTTTAAGCGGAGCCGCCGTAGGTTGAACCGTATCTTAATACGAACTATAATAAGTCATGTGATTGTTGGTGTTATGTTTTTATGTCATGTCTTCTGCCAAAATAACAAGGAGTTCTGCTCATACACAATCGGTATGCGTAACGGTAAATTTTATTTAAGTCCTTTCAAGTCGGTTTTTGTAAGCGCATGCTGAATGTTTGTGTCCACTTTTTTATGTACATTAGTTTATATTTTTCGTTACGTACAAGTTTGTTCTATTCAGAGTATTGTGTTTCCAGTTGTTATTAGGAATGCTATGTAAATGATTTGTGTCCATTTGAGCTCAAAAGCTCAGACACAACAAATGAATGGAAAACAACATACAAACAACTATAATACGAGTAGTAAGAACTAGTAGCTATTATACCAGGATTAACCAAGCATGTTCTGCAATTCAGAAATATGATTGTTATCTTTCTCTCGTTCCGTTGGTTGACAATGTTTTATTTTATCAGTTTTAAAAGACGTCCCCTCTGATGGAATTTACCTTAAATGTAGTTCGTTCAACCTTTTTGGACCAAGACATACTAGTAATTCCCAACGTCTGTAACATGACTTCAAATCATTGTTTTTGAAATCAAAACTAAGCAATTGCAATTTTATCGAAATTATTGAACCTAAATATAGTAGTCTGACCAAAGTTTAATCGTGAGCTGCTGCAGTTTACATGATGCAGCATTAAGTGAGGGGAACATTGAGCATATGACCATATAGAGAACATGCAGTTAATTGATTAATCAAATGATAGAAAGGCCAAAATTTCATATTTGGAGGATAAGAGGAGGCTACTTTTGATGCATCATTATCACACGTTTAATGAATATAGGTCACTAAGAAGACTTGTCTTAGTTTACCAACTATACCTTCTAAGATACATTCTTTCTTACACAAACGTATATGATTGTAGTTGTCATAGTATTTGTGACCTGAATTAGCTAACTGTAGTTGTAAAACCTAATTAAGTGAGGTATAGAACATTGATTTGAGGAAACTATTAAATAAAGACTGGTATATTCCAATTTGTGCATTCATAAACCATCATCTATGATTTAATGTTCTTTGCATCAGAGATTCTACCTCGGGCGTACATAATAAAGAAGTCGTTAAAATAATAGAAATGTTGGGTTAACCAAATGTGTCTAAGATATGAATTTTGTCTAAAATCTTTGACCAACAAATGTCATTAGAAGATACACTCATATACACCGTGTATCATCGGAACAGCGGATAAGCAGGGCGTGATCGATTTTAACCTGACACGGTAAGAAAACCTTTGTTTTGTTTTATCTACATTCAGTGTACATTTCTCAACATCTAAAATTCCTGCTCCCAAATAATTTTCGCTTCGATTTTTTTTCCCATTTATAAGACAACTTTTATATTCTAATAAGAATAATTGGCTTTTACTTGCGCAAATAGTTGTGAATGTCAACACCAACTTTCAATTTCGATACAGTTGTCGAGTCATTTACATGTTTTCTATGAATGAAAGCTGATACAGGGCAAAAGTAATAGTTACCAATCATAAACCTACCTGTGATAACTCCTTCCATGAAACATTTTGGGTAATAAACCAGTGTAAAACACTTTTGGAAAAGCTATATACCGTACATTTACTCAACTATGCACCGTACAGAAGGATTTATGTGGTCAGCTATACACCGTACACAACGCTTCTTTTCGGAATAAAATATAAAAATACAACATATGTATGAAAGATTTCAATGCCAATTATTGAAACAGCTATACTTATTACGCACACACAGTGGCCTTCTATCAGAAAAAGAGTTGCAATGAATATAGAATCATATCGGATGAGATGAGCGCCAACTTCTTTCACAAGTTTTTGCACTTGTTTTTAGTAAGCGTTCTTATTTTGGTAAAATAATGAGACGTCTCTAATTATCAACCTACGACCAAATCATTTCTTAAAACAACAATTATGTTTAGATTGAAGTACACATTGATATTATGTAAACAATACAAAGATTTTCTTACCGTGTCAGGTCAAAATTGATCACTACCGCTTGGTTAGTACCTATATCCGCTGTACCGATGATACATGGTGATATATAAAAACTAAAATAGCAAAATATCGAACTCCAAGGCAAATTCAAAATGGAAAATTCCTTATCAAATATATTATAAAGTTATATAAAAGTAAAAGGTTAATTGGTAACTAAAAGTTACCTCAGGTGAAAATCGTCAATGCGTTTGAAGTATAACACGTGACAGAAGACAAGTATTATGTATAATACCGAATAAGTTCGCACGATACTGGTGTTTGAGATAAAGTTCAATAATTACCCTTCTGATCTTCTTAACATTGGAAAACAAAAAAATATTCACCCCTTACTTTCCTGGTTTAGCCAAAGCTGAAGATGATATGTTCCGAAATAATTATTCGGAAGGAATATACATTTTAAATGTCACCAAACCTGGACACATTAACATTTATCAGCTCAATCAACAGCTATACGCAACAAGAATGACAAAGACAGCACATCATATACAAATGTAAATTGCATTACAAGTTGCAGTTCTCGTTGCTTTTTAAACCTTGATATTTGAATTTTATTTTGAATTAAACAAGCAGTTAAGTTTTCATATTAAAGAAAACAAAATAGTGGCTACATAAAACATAAAAAAAAAACATTATGTTGTTCCTTACCAATTAATAAAGAGAAGTCGTGTTTTCGTCAGTTTTTATTCATTCTGCTTAATTTATATTTTTGTATTTCATTTATATTCTGTACTATTTGAAAGACTGTGCTTCTCTTGGTGTTGAATAAAAGAGATCAACATTTGTTTTTTACATTTTTGTATTACATAGAAATGAAGAAGACAACTAAGATTTACTACACTTGATATAATTATTAAATATATTCATATAAAACTCATGTGGCAGTCGTTTGTACTAATTCCAAATTATTTATACTATCAGATACTGCTTAATACTTTAAAAAAAATCATTTAGATTACATTGAATAAGGTGGACTTGTAGATGAATGAATTTGCAGTACAATTCTAATGTCGTTTTAATTGTTTTTTTGTTGTTGTAATAGAAAAAAAAAAAACTCACCCAACGTTGTACGCCAGTCGCAACATATGATAACGTCCCTGATCACATAATTAATGCAGCTTTTGGACCATGATCATGTTATTGTCTTGAAGCACCTTAGATCGTTGTCGAAGTTTGCGTGGTTCGTTTTGTTCAATCTATTTTGTATTCTTGTGGTACTTTGTGGAATGTGTTTTCGTCGGTTTTTATTCGTTCTGCTTAAGTATTTTGACGGTAAATATAGATATTGTCCCGTTGGTATCTTACTCTCTTTTTAATAAAATTATTATATTAAGGTTTTTGAGTCTTTAACAAATGAAACATATCCGTGGTTATCTGCGACAAATATATTCACTAAAGGTCAACCAAATAACTATTGCGTTCACAAAACTTTGAACTATCGTACTTTAACAAATCCTAATCTCTAGATCAACCTTGACTACTTTGTCTGATTACGGCTTATTTCTATACTCTGCACAAAAACAGAAACATCAAAAATAGAAAAAACAAAATGCTCATTGTAAAAGAAAGCATGAAACGTTCAACATTGAGCGTTGTAACTATTCAATTTATTATAGTTGGAATACGCTTAACAGCATGAACTGTAGTCTTGCCAATGTGTTCTTTTAAATGTGTTCACTCGAAGCCGTCAGAGAAAAAAAAACAATAGTTTCATTTTTTATCTACCTTCAGTTTTGCCACAACAGTCATGTAATTTGTCATAATGTTTTCAGGTATTTCTCAATCTTTCCAATAATTCCTTGTCTATAGGGATTATACTACATGTTTGTAAGGAATACTCGTTGTTAATAGGGGCTCATTTTACATGTTATCTAAACGAAAACAACTTGAATTATACGACATATTTGTGAAAACTAATTTTTACCCTGAGACGCTGATGGATCCATTTTTAACTTTACATACTCTTGTGTCTCTTTAATAGCTTCTAAAAGAAGTAATGCCCAATTATCTTTCCTGCGTTTCACAGCAAGAAACATTTCTCGACACGCAGCAGTTCTTCCTTTTGAGAACTGCATTGCTTCAATTGCTTCTTTATCACTTTGTTCAATACATCTATTTTTATATAAATATGCACAAAGCTACAAGGGTTCTAATACATCAACTAACTCTCCTGTCAAGTAATTAATTAGAAATTCAAAGTATTCTTGACAAAACCTCCTCCCTCTGTCTGGATAAATGTTGCTTATAGGATCAACAAATCTTTGATAACCTGAAATAACATGTACATCTGTTCATTGAGAACAATAAACAATCTGTTTGTCCTAATCCACTATTTAAATCTGATTAATTTATTCATTATCAAAAATAAGTAACTGGCCAACAATATCAATATGTATTATTCCCAATTGGTTTATTAAAGAGTATATAATAGAATAAGAGTGGACATGAAAGTAAACTTTAATTATGATATGTTTGAGTTAATATTTAAGTTGTGGACATTAGTTCTTATCATTGATATACATGTATATTTTTTACATGCTGGTGGTTTTATGTTTGTTTTTGACTTATTAATATTTTTGCTTTGAAAACTTTCAATTGATTTGATAATCTAGTAGATACGCCTTACCTTTATCGGATAATGCTAGTATAAACTTTGGAAGAAGTTCACTTTTTTCTGATATTTTCTTAAGCAATTTATTGGACGCTTCTTTCCTATTGTTTTTTTCCAGCTCACATATTTCGTCAATAAAGTCCTCTATAAACGTAAACAAACAGTTAAAAGACACCATTAAATATGGCACAATTGAAAAAAAACACATATGGGGTACATCTAGACATATTCATTAGATATATTCACTTAATTTTTAGTTTATTAAATTGAAAACGTAACATGATAGTAGTCTAGTATGTAGTTGTCACAAAAACAATTCAAATAATTCGCTTCAAGAAAGTGTTGATTAATCAACCTTTGACGAAGTATAGTTCTTATTTTGAAAACTGCCGTAACATGAGCATGGTCAGATAATTATACTTTTAGATGAAGTACATGTAGCACACAGATCATCTGTGACAATTGATTTTGCTAGAAAATAAATTTGCATACAGAGATAACTTACGTTTAATGTAATCTTTATTAAGAGATTAACTCATCACAGATACCGGAAATAAAATTGTGAACGCCAAAGACTCTTTTTGTCCACAAAAGACACATCAGTGACGCACGAACCAACAAAACAAAAAAAATGCAAGGGAAACAAATGGATATATAACAGTTTAACTATTAGCAAAGAGACAGAAAGTACCAACGAACTGTTTGATCATGTGACTGATGTACCATTGCATAGTAATAGACTATCAAACTATTTGCTAGGTTATAAATAACACATATGGTGGCACAGGAGGAGTCTTTTTTGAAATTTCATTAAACATTAAAATAATAATCATGATAATAGAAAATTGTTTGGTAAAAGAGGATACAGTAAACATGCAGTACAACCGTATATACACACTAAAAGGTAAATTTTTAAAAATTAAATAGGAACTGAACAAGACTCTGTTTAAATCTATAAGTGTTTTGCATTTTACGAATTTTCTATGAAAGTCCACTCCAGGGAATTGATCCATTATAAAGTTTTTCGTAACAACTCAGTTGCAAGGTTAAGAATTTCTACGTACAAACTAATGTGCTTCCATAAAAAGGTTAATGATTACTAAAGTTATTTAAGAAAAAGGTTATGCTGCAATTTCAAGATCGTGCATAGACGATTGATAAGATCGACTACGAAAAATATATAAAATTCATGAAGTTCCATATTCCGTTACTTAGTTAAATTACGACATACTTTGTACAAGCTTCAAAAAAAGGACGAAAAATATATTGATTTAGTGTTAAATAATAAATATAATTTTCTTCGCAGAAAAGCAATATTTTCTTTCGTGTTTCGGGTATTAAGGTTGTACACTTCAAAGGAGCCAACATTTCTAGAATTAAACTTTTTTTCTTAACCTGATTTTTTGGTTTATATGACTGTTAGAAAGTAACGACGAAGAAACAAAAACAGATGGTGGTGCGCGCTTTTTTGGCTATGACCATTTGAAAGTACCAATTTTAATGATTTTCCTAATTTTTCATCAATTTTTACCCATTTTTTTGGCTATTATCATGAAAAAATCCCAATTTCAAAATTATACTCTTTTCATACTTTCACCAAAGATGAAGTGGACCAATCTGAATAAATTTAACTTTAAAAACAATGTGTAGGTTTTAATATAAGAAAGTTTTTAAAATTTTGTTGCTTTTTTGTGTCAAATTGACCATGCTGTCGATTTTGTAAGGATTTTTCTCATTTTTTTAGAACAAAAAGCATATGAGCTCAACTTCTTTGTTAGAAATGATTGAAAATTACAAATCTAAGTATTTCGATAAGAAAAAAAATTGATATAGGATATACATATCTTTGGTAAAATCATTTCTTTATACCCTCACCTATTTTCTCAATATTTTGGCTGATGACACTTACCAGATTGTTTATAAAGTTTGCAAATGTTATTACTCATAAACAACTTATTGTAATTACACAATCATTTAAATGAGGTGAGTTTAATTATGATATTTTTTTATATTCATTGATTTTTTCCACTTGTATTACATGCTTTAGAAATTTGAAATTATCATTTTTTTCATGTATTTTTTCATTAGATTCGTATGTTTGAAAAATTTACATACAAGAAGTAAACACATTTAGTTCATACCTGTCAACTGACCCGTATTTTGCGGGTTTGACCCGTGAATTTATCAGTTCATCCGAGAGTTTTCAATACCTTTCAATGAAAATAACCAGGGATTTTATCAAATGACCCGTTTTGATCCATATTCTAGTGCCATGAGACTTCCAATGTTTAAAATGCTAAAAATGTCCTCTGAAAAATGTCCAATTCAAAACTCTTCCAGGACAGGAAGTTCCATTATTTGCCTTCAATTGAATGATCTACAGCTATCTACAGCTATCAAAACATAATTTTGACACTCGTTTGGTTGAAAGGCAATAACAATTCGCTAATATATAGTTAATTGTGCACTTTAAAGGTCGGCGTAAGTCAAGCTTGACATACAGTTTTTGGATTTATGAATTTGCTTTTTACAAATTTCAATTGTCCTATCTAGATCATTTTCAAACAATGTGAACCTCTTTATACATGTCTGTTGCAGAATTACATCTCCCTTAACTATTTTAACCATTCATTTGTGTTGTCACTTCAAATCGACGAGGTCTACAAATGTGCAAAGAATGTAAACAGTCACTTCGTCTGTCTCAGTTTATTCCTCCTGTGTATAGGAGCACATTAGCTATAGCTGATTTCTAATTATAGTTGGGGTTTATAAAATGTGTAAATAAAAAATAGTGCTAATGACCCACTTAGAGGGAATTGTTTTATTTTGATATTTGATTAATAATAGATACCTGACAAATACAATGCATTTAAAATGAAAACATGACTTGAAATGTTAAATAATGTTCAGGAAATACTTCTCAATTGTGAATATTTGTACGAAACTTGTATCTGTTATTGAATATTAAACGAAAATCCTCTAAATACTGAAATTCAACAGAAGAAAGTGGTTACGCGTTATGACCTGCCTAGTTCCTCCTCAATAAGGCATTGACCTGCATTTTCAGAGGTTGAAAGGTATGTTATTTTCTTAAGTTCTAGCAACATTAATGGATGCTCATTCTTGGCCATGCTTGTGCGAAAATTCCTTCAACGAATGATCCATGATCGAACAAAACAAAACGTCCCATTATCAGCTTTTGGATGCTGAATTAATTAGTATATATCTATATGTTAGATGGATGCACTTAACTCGTTAACTACGAATCTTTTTAAAAAGAAAGGTCATTGAACTATTAAAGTATCAAACAAAGTTTGGCACTTACATTAAAATGAAACAATTGCAATATATAAAAATTATACCAAAGTCATGTCAAGAACTTTGTACTGTCATTCAATTATTCATAAAGTCAGGTGGTCAATCAAGCTTTGAGTACTAATTTTCAATGAGCTGAAAACATGTTCATGATATTAACCTACCGAAATAGACTTATTACTGGGTTTGTAATAACATAAGCAACACGACGGGTGTCACATGTGGAGCAGGATCTGCTTACCTTTCAGGAGTGGGGTTGTGTTGCTCAGTCTTTAGTTTTCTATGTTGTGTTTTGTGTACTGTTTTTTGTCTATTGGTCTTTTTCTTTTTTAGCCATGGCGTTGATTGTTTATTTTGGACATATGAGTTTAAATGTCCTTCTGGTATCTTTCGCCTCTCGTTATAGACGATGGTATTTTTGCACGTTGTAAAATTCAAAAGAAATCAACTTGCTTACATGAGGACTCAAATCAGTGTTTGAAGTTTTATATTTTAGAGGTACCTTCCAATCCTTGTATGTTGAATATAACATCTGTTGGTTTCAAGAATTTTAAAAATTCCGACTTTAATAAACAAACTCGGTCTATCTGTGATTCTGACATACTCTGAAAAACATGTAAACAATAAAAACACCTTTAAATGATTTTTCTCAAATGACAGAAATATGAAACTATGCTCATTATTAAATTACTTGTTTTGTGTTTTTTATTTTTCACATTATGTTAAAACATGAGTTAACAGTTCAAACTTTACAGAACCACAATACATCAATTTGAAATATAACACTAAAGTAATAAGAATTTCGTTAACAATTACGGTAGAGCATGGGTAAAAAGAAAAGAGACTTAACTAGACACTCTGTCAGAATGGGTTAAAACAATTATGTCGTTGATACAGCGTAAAATCCACATGTTGACAACTGTTTGCATTCAGAGACAAGGAAGCTGTAAAATGTCTGAAGTATCTTCACAACAAATATGTTCTTGTTCCTCTGGACAAAGTTTTACATAATATCTATTTTGTCTGTAAATCATATTACTACATGTACTACGAGTGTCTTATCAAAGAATTGGGAAAAAATTAACACTCGGATAATCCGTTTACAAAAACATAATTTTTAATAAGGGAGATATCTTAGCAAACCATAAGTCTTTCATGGCCCCATAGAATATTTCAATGAAGAATATATCTGAGGACTTTACTTGTTTGAATCGGATACCTGAACTGCATAAAGCTCCGTACAAACAACGGTACATTGCCGGTCATCCGCATGTTCTATCAATGAAGTGTCCGTTATATTCCTTTAATGTGTTCGCAGTTTAGGAGGGATAACATAAATATGAACCCCAAAAAATAAGAGGCTATATCAAAGGACAAGTGACCAGTATGCTGGATTTTCTCAGTGACCACAAATTTGTTGAACTTAATGGTAGAATTACAGCCAGTTGTCGGCATTCCCATGGTAACCAACTGTTCACCTCTCTAATCGATCTTTTCTTATTTTCCTATGACTCGGAGTTCTTCCAGACACTTGTACAAAACAAGAAGACAAAAGCATATCATTTAATTTTACATACAGGTATGTTGATGATGTTCTTTCCATAAACAATCTAAACTGTTTCTAAAAGTTCGTCGCCATAGTAGCAGTATACCAGCTTCACTCGCGTATGGAGTATATATTTCTCAACTCATACAATATTCAGGAGTTTGCAGCTGCGACTCAGACTTTTGAATACGTTATTATTGTTTGAGAAAAAAATTGATGACCAAGAGTCTTGTTCGTCCTTTTTTCTCAAGAAATTCATAGGAAAGTAACAAGACTTGATAGATGAATATTCAGTGTCTACTTTATAAATTATACAAGTTGGTCTCGGAATATATTTTCTAGGTTCTGAAGTTGTATATCTTTTTATTAACTTTACAGTTTCCCTTCATTTGTCTTCGTACTGAAAATGGAAAAAACAACAAAAATACCGACCCCCGAGGAAAATTCAAAACGGAAAGTCCCTAAAAGCATCCATGCATTTCCTTATGTATAAAATGGTGGATTAAGGATGTGCTAAGATGAGGTTTATTGCATTGTGAAATATTTCTTTTAGACGATTTTTCAATTTGACATGGGGAATGGTGGTATGAAGGGTTGAAAAACCAAAGGTTTACATATAATTAATTTCAGAGAAAGATATACATGATAAAGGTTTTAAATTATCGAGACGTGCTTTCGTTTGTTAAAATCCAATATGGTCAATACATTTGTACCACTACGCGAGTAAACAATTTCACAGTATTTCTGAAGACCATCTTTCACTGTGGACAGAATTCTTGTCAATGTAGTGGACCATTCCTTTGTAGAATATGCAGATGAGCCGGCAATGTACCAACGCTTGTATGGAATTTTGTGAATATTAGTTATTCAAAAAGTAAAATAACAAAAATACCGAACTCCGAAGAAAATTCAAAACGGAAAGTCCGTAATCAAATGGCTAAATCAAAAGCTCAAACACATCAAACGAATGGAAAGCAACTGTCATATTCCTGACTTGGTACAAACATTTTCTTATGTAGAAAATGGTGGGTTAAACCTGGTTTCATAGCTAGCTTAACCTCTCACTTGTATGACAGTCGCATTAAATTCCATTATATTGACAACTATGTGAAATACATCCTAAATAAGGTAAGTCCGCAGATTTGCTTTTCAATGTATTGTTTCATTGAAGCCGTGAAAGATTTATGATTCGCTAAAATCTCATACTTGCCAAATAATTTGTTTTTTATGTTTTTACCTATGTGCTCTTTCATTCCTAGTTGTTCTACAAGACACTCGTAGTGGTGCGATTATCATACAAACCAATATTATATGAAGCTTTGTCCGAAAGGAATAACAAAATATTTATTGCGAAGCGATGATAGAAATTTAACAGCTTCTTTGTCTCTGAATACGGACTTTGTCGATCACTTACAAAGTGTTTCAACTTTTGGATTCGATTTTTATCAGAAAACTGATAGCTTTAAGCTATTCTCACAAATGATCCAGGTCCACCTTTTGCGTTTACTCCATGCCCTGGCGTAGTCCTCAATGGAATCCATAATTATTTTGATGTTATGTTTCCAATTGAAGTGTTGGGGTTCTCTGAACTTAGAACCATGATTTATCACCTTTCGGTGTTCACTTTGAATTATGTTTAGATCTCAAGTAATGAGATGTATAGATTGATTGATTGTTGGTTGCTTAACGTCAAGTGGCAAATATTTCATGCATATTCAGGACGAGAGATGTATAGATGGGCTGTAGATATAAGGTGAGTGGAAACAGTCATATTTTTTGGTTATTTAATGTTTACTTTTTTTCAATTTTTAAATTATACCACCTTAGTATGACGATAAATGTTCACTTCTGTTCTCGTACTATGAACAACAAATTTATCTATTTTGTAAAAAATATTTCCGTACTCCATGTACTGCTTACAACAAAATTATTGGTATTTACCTGTGTACGCTATTTTATTTAACGGCATTTTGTCCAAGATCAAAGTTGTCTTTCGGATTTTGTTTGACATCCCACCTACCACCTACTTTAATTAATTTTGTATTTACATTGTGTCATAGATCAAATGTATTCGTTCAGTGTATGTTTACTTGTTTTTGTTAATGTGTCTCTTGATTGAGTTATTGCATTTCAATTGACATTTTATAGTGTGTCTTTCTATGCTGTGGTGTTACACTATTATTTCAGGTAAGGGTGAAGGTTGGTGCCTGTTAAAACGATTAAACCCGCTGCATTTGTTTGCACCTGTCAGGAACCTGTTGTTCAGTGGTTGTCTTTTGTTGTTTAAAAGTGTTTCTCGTTTCTTGTTTTTTATATGGATTAGACCGTTGATTTCTCTTTTTGAATGATTTTAAACGAGTCAATTTCGGGGCCCTTAATAGCTTGCTGTTCGGTGTGAGCCAAGGCTCCGTGTTGAAGGCCGTACCTTGACCTATAATGGATTACTTTTACAAATTGTGACTTGGATGGAGAGTTGTTTCATTGGCACTCATACCACATCTCCTTATATCTATATATGTAAGAGCGTTTTTATGTATTTTTAATCAAGGACCTGCAATGTTTGCTTATAGTTGAATACTTTATGTGCAATGAATTTTGGTGTAACTGTACAATAGGAACAGACTGATTTGAAAATAAAGTGTAATTTTATATGTTACATCTTTGTGATGAAGAATGTTGCTGATGTTGATAACATCGATTTCATTATTAGAAAGCTGAAGTGGAAGGAATTTCCTATTCTCATTATGTAATGGTTCCGATCTTACTGGTTTATGCATCCTTTGTCAAGTGCATAATCTTATATGTTCCTTTTGATCGTATGACTCTTGACGGGACGCGATATTCATTCATTAAGTTATCGTATTATATTGCTTTTGGTGTATCTGGTGCGGGTGTGTTCTTTTGTGGGACTCGAACGCAAGCGGTTTTTATGACGTTAATTTCATTTTGATTACTCTCGTCTTTACATTTTTCGTAATTTGTACTTTATAAGGAAAGTCAATCCTATGAACTGATAGTACTATCAACTATAAAACATTTTTATTGGCGTCCTTGTCAAATTTACTATTAAATACTGAAAAAAATGTTTGCGTCTTTTCAAGTTAGCTACTTAGTACTAAAAACATCTTGTTTTAGTTTTTGATAGATTTATCTCTATTTTTTTTTGTCAGTTGTATCGTATGTCTGCGATGAATGTTAACATAGTTTTTGCCACTGGATCCAAATCATTGTCACCTTAACCTATTATGACTGTTTGGGTTGTTAACCCAATTTTGTCAATAGAACAAAATTATAAACAACTGTCATACAAGTGGGAGGTTAACCTATCCATAAAATCATGTTTAACCCACTATTTTCTGAAAATATTATAAATATTAAATTAGAAATATAAAAGTTATTTTATATTCGTTTCGTTGGTTGATAAAATCTAATGTTTATTTTTTTTAGTTTTTATGGACTTTATGTACCATGGAGTTTGGTATTTTTGTTATTTTTTTCACATATGTTAATCTATTCCTAGATATTTTTTTAAATAAATAGAAATACAAAATGAAAAAAAAGCGAAATAGTAAATCATTCATCAATTACAGCTTTTCTCAAAGATGCATTTTCATATTTATATACTTTATTGCTGAGTCAGACAAAATTCTTTGATTAAGCTTGTGTTGGTGTTGCATAAATCAATGACTGAGGTAGAGGTTTCAATTCTGTAAATATAGACAATGCAATTTCTTATAGGAACTCCCTTTGTGGCTTAAACTGTGCCACTTTTACTGTGAAGTTTCGTGAAAAATTATATCCCAGAACGGAAAGTTGATATGCACTACTATCTTATTCAAAGGTCAAAATATAGGGCTGTGAGGCATATTTTCAACATTTATATGCCGTAAATTTTTTATACTATCCCTACCTCCATTTTTGGAACACTAAGAATTAAATTTTAGGCGCTACCATGTTTTTCTATACTGTTAACATTCCCAAGTTATGTCTCTATGAGATGAAACACAGAGATCATATCTGGGAACCAGTACGTTAACAAACTAACATGTCTATGAATATTATATATCTCCGCAAAAAAGGCGTAGCTTGTGAAAAAGCTGTATTTACAAAGTGCAACTTATAAAAGATTTGTTTTGTCCACAATACACTACATAAAAAACTAACGACTGAGAAACATGAACCCTATCATAAACCCGAGTGATATCAAATGCTCTGGGAAAGCAGATCTTGCTTCACATGTGGCATCGTTTGTTTGGTTGAGGTTAATAACGCATTCGGTGATTTCATAATAAGCGGAAAGAGAATTGGATTATGGTCACGACAATTGATAAAACTCCGTTGCCATCTGTGACAAAGATATTCGATAACGAATTCACGAAGGCATCTGTGTAACTTTAGAAGGGAGAATATCCTTTTTACCACACCACACCCTTCATTCAAAAGCTACCCTGTAAGCAGCAACTAAATGTAAGGAATGAAAATAGCCGAGTGGTCTAATTAGTTTATCTACTCTAACATTTGCTTAATAACACCGGAGTTGTGAGTTTTAATCCCACCAGCGGCAGACGCGTTTTACTTAAGTTTGATTTGACAAGGATTGCCAGTTTTCCCATCCATGTCCAGTGCACAATGTTAAAAGAATATTGACGACATCGCGATATTTACAATGTTAACACGATATTGTGTCAAAATCGTTTACATTATATGAACTCTTATATATTGTTTACCCCGTTGAAATCGTTAACATCGCGATGTAAACAATGTTGTAAAGATATCGTGTTTACATCGTTTACATCGCGATATCAACAATGTTAACACTATAATGTGTCAACATCGTTTACATTGTAACAGCTGTTTTTACTGTTTACATCGGTTACATCGTATACATCGCGATGTATACGATATAGTAACGATGTTGTGTTTACATCGTTTACATTGCAATTTTAACAATGTTAACAAGATATATTGTCAGCATATTTTACATTGTAACAATTCTTATATACTGTTTACATCGTTGACATCGTTAACATCGCGATGTATACAATGTATTATCAATATCGTGTTTACATCGTTTGCATTGTACTGCATTGTATAGCACGATATGGTGTCAACATTATTTATAATGCTTGAAATGTAATAAAATGTTTACATCGTTTACATCGTTTACATCGATATATAACAATTTATTAACGATATATTATGGATTACAAATGTGTCAATTTTTGTAATGGAATAACAACACGGAGATGTCAGTATATATTCAGGAAAGTGCCGGGTTATATACTACATCTTTTGCCTCATTTGGAACATCAACAACGTCATCATAGCAAACGTTACTATGTGACGTAGTCTTAAGCTATGCAGAACACTTAAAGAATGTAAGAGGCTCTCAGAGAGAAAATAATGACGTGTATCCGTCAATAATATGTTTCTTATTTTAAACCACTCTATTTACACATTCAATACTTTAGTAATCGTTAAAGTGCTATTACAAATTATTGCATATATATGATAGAATTATTTTCACAGCAAATTATAAACCCTTCACATATGCGGAAAATGTGAACTTTTTTTTTCAGTATTTGCTGTTTAAAAAAATACATAAAAATACAAACGGTATACATGGAATTTAAAAACTTTTTTGAAAAATATTAAGAAGAAAAAAAAATATTTTAGAAGATGGAAAACTTGTATTTAAAAGAATTACACTAAATATTAAGAAATAATAAACATGTACTGAATATATATAATGCTTGGTGAATGTTTAAAAAATACCTGGTATTGGTAAAAAAAATAGGCAAGGATAATCAGTAATATATTTGTAATTCGGGTTTCAGACATGGTATATAATATGACATTCCCGGCTTAGAATTTATACGTTGTGAACGATGAAAACAGAAAGGTATGGACTTTATATACAACATAAACACGATGCTGACACGATATTGTCAACATCACGATGTATACGATTTGAACTATGTAAACACAAAGGTATAGACTTTTTATACAATATAAACACGATATTGACGCGATATTGTTAACATTGCGATGTATACGATGTGAACGGTGTAAACAGAAAGGTATAGACTCTATATACAACATAAACACGATGTAAACACGATATTGTTAACATTACGATGCATACGATGTGGACGATGTAAACACAAAGGTATAGACTTTGTATACAATATAAACACGATATTGACACGATATTGTTAACATTACGATGTATACGATGTAAAGGATGTAAACACAAAGGTATAGACTTTTTATACAATATAAACACGATATTGTCAACATCTGGATGTATACGATGTGAACGATGTAAACAGAAAGGTATATCCTCTATATACAACATAAACACGATGTTTACACGATATTGTCAACATCACGAAGTGAACGATCTAAACACAAACGTATAGATTTGGTACACACCATTAATACGATGTTAACGATGTGAACAATGTAAACACGATATTGTCAGTATCACGATGTATACGATGAGAACGATGTAAACACAAAGGTATAGACTTGATATGCAATATAAACACGACGTTGACACGATATTATTAACAATGCGATGTATACGATGTAAACGATGTAAACAGAAATGTATAGACTATATATATACAACATGAACACGATGTTGACACGATATTGTTAACTACACGATGTATACGATGTGAACGATGTGAACACAAAGGTACAGAACACATATATATAGATAGGATACAATGTAAACACAATAATGACACGATAAAATCGACAAAACATCGTGCACTGGCCATACTTCAGTTTTACTGCGTAATGTCGGTTGTTTTTCCGTGCGCACCGGATTCCAGTCTTTACTTTCACCTATCAATGCGAGCACACTACAATGAGACCACCAGATTTCAAGTTTTTACTTTAACCATTCAATGCGAGCACGCTACCATGAGACCATCTTTGCATATTCCTGTTTAGTTGTGTACTAACTATTCTTTGTAATTTAATCATATCTCTATCGGTTGTTCTTTCCGTGCGCACCAGATTTCCAGTCTATACTTTAACCTGTCAATGCGAACATGCTACCATGAAATGATGATGATGAAAGCCTTTTTCACATCCATCGGCTAATCTATATACATATTCAGGACGAGAACAGATTATTGTAATGATTATTAAACCTTCTTTGTACTAGACCGACACGTTGGGCCCGATTTTTAACGTGCCAGTTCACAAGGGAACAGTCCGCATAAAAGACATGTCACTTTACCCGGACATTTTGTACTCCGAGCCGACCAGTCTTTGCTCTTACGCCTAAATGACGTGTGCTTAGCAGAGAAGCAGCAAATACCAATTCTAAAGTCTTTGCTTTGAGTCCGGCAGGGTTCGAACCCACGACCTCCCGCACTCGAAGCAAACATGATACCAAGAGACCACCAAGGTGGTCTGGTACCATGAGACCACCGTTGCATAATCCTGTTTAAATGTGTGCCAAATGTTCTTGTTCAACCAAATATGGTATATTTCAATTTTATTGTATGATATCGCTAATTTATTTATTGTGTGTCTTGCTTGCAAATGTATAATTATGATATTGTTAATGTATAATTGTTATCCTCTTGTGGCACCATACGTGTGCCTAAGTTGTAATAAAATTTCTTGTCTTGTCTTTAATTAAATCACATCTCTACCATGAGGATTTGAAAAAAGATCATCAATTTTTGAAATGTTCGGTCAAATCATACCAAATACGATTTTCCTTTAATTCAATTTGTTGGGATATGAATTGTATTGTGCTACAACATTACATACTTTTGTGACGCTTTTTTAATGCCTAGTATATCTATCATGAAGAATGATTTCAGTTATTATTTGTAGTTTCCGTTTGGTCATACAGCTCATAATGTTTCAACGTACTTATTTATCCATGGCATTATATAAACTTGAATTTGAACGTTCTGATGACGGTAAATACAAAAAAGAGTTTTGACGCACAAAACTTATAAAGTGTTATTTTCGTTAAGGTTTAAAAAAATCATATATTCTGCCCTGATGTCGGGTGGTTGTCGCTTTGACATTTTGCCGTTTCCAATATAGTTGTATGTAAATGTACGATGACGGAGTACGTGTTGTTTTCGATATATCTATACTACTAAAAATAACGAGGTCCAATTTGTTAGCCGGCATGACGTAAAAACAACAAATCAATTAATCTAAACACTACTTATTTATAAATAAAAAAATGAGAATCAAAATACTAAAGCAAACAGAGTATATACTTTCCTTCATAAAATATTATAGTTCTAAAAATATACAGAAATCTAAAAACCGTCATTGAATATCATTTACACCTGTTAGTGCAAGTGAATTAAAGTCACGGCTATAAATAAGGCGTTGGTAATTTAATTGAGTCACGGATCCGCGATATCGCGGGTGTATTCTTGTTTACATAATAAAAACGTAAGTGTAGTATAGATCGTTTATTGCTTGTCAAGTCAAGTCAACTTTGAAATAACACTTTCTGTACGGGGATATTGACAAACTAAAATGGTATTTTGAACATGAAAGGTAATTCAAGATAATGGAAATAGATTACTGCTTATTACCATGTATTTGTTCTGTTATATCGGTATTGTTCAACTCCGTTTTACGTATTCATTTAGTGATGGAACAGTTTAGTTGTCCCATTAGCAAACATGTATCATATCTTTATTTTTATATAGATATTTACCTGATGATCTGTTAAAATCCTTCTCAAAATGGCGACCGGGAAATAATTGTAAATCTAAATATAGGTAGTGTTTATCTTTAAATAACATTCTACCGAAGTTTAAATATTTTAAATTTGCAAAAAAATACAAAATTATAAAAATTAAGGTGGATGATTGAAGTAAATATTTTCGACTTAATTTTTGAAAAAAATGAGCTAAATAAAAATATGAAACAAAAAGACAGATCACTTAGGGTGAACGACTTTTTTTTTATTAAAATTGCAACCCGGGATTTTTTATCGTTGAGCCGAAAGAAACTTTGGCAACACATCTACCAAATTCATCAATTGGCCATAAACTTGTATCTTCCCCTGAAAGTCGATTTTCATTGGCAGGTAATTTTATTTAAAATATATATACGACGATTGACGTTATGTATTTTGATATTTTAACATATAATTAGAATTGTAAAAAAATGACAAAAAGGGGGGTACTACATTGCCACTTTGTAAACTTCTTGAATTCAAAAGGATGATGTATGAATCTAGAAATAACATGATGTTTATTAGACACATTAAACGAATGAATATCAACTGTCATATTCCTGACTTGGTACAGGTATTTCCTAATGTAGAAAATTGTGGATTTAACCTGGTTTTAAAGCTAGGCAAACCCCTCACTTGTATGACAGTGACATCAGAGTTTCAAACGTCTTGAATAAAGTGAATAACTGCAAAAACAGTCACGATATTCTCGTTTTGAGATATTGCCATCAATGATAAGATATAAACCAATGCTGCACCCAAAAGAATATATTACAGGATGTTTTAAACCTGGCAAAAGTGTTATCATCGTGTGTTGATAACTGTTTTGTTAAAATCCCGTTTTGTTAGATTATGTCAACTTTGACATTTATATGACATCTTAGGGACATCGCACCCTAAAGTGTTAATATGAAATTTTGAAATGTTCCTTTAAAAATAATATTAATAATCTTATGATGACGTTGAAAAGCTTCAATTATTGTACCCTATATGCTATTTCAGGGACCAATAATTGATGTTATCATATCTTCTCCTTTAGTTTCTTTGAGCATTAGTTTCTGGAAATAATGTATCTGTTTTTACCGTTCAAAGTTATTGCCTCCTATTTAATGATATGTTAGATATTCGTGAAAAAATGACACATTAAATATTTAACTGAGATCCGCAAACCTGTCTTAAATAAGGTAAAAATTGTTTGTTTTTGAAGAGATTAAAAGAAAATCATATAAACCACTTTCCATTCTAATATAAATAGAAAACATACCAATGTAACATTGTTTTCAGTATACATGTATGTCATTGAAACCAAATCTGTTAATAGTTGGATAATACATGTTTGTGAGCGCTCAACCCTACCGCAACATGGTTCGGTGATGTAACAACAAAACAAAAGCCGATTCATACTTAACAATATTATTCCCTGATTGTAGGTTTATCTTGTTTGATATCTGATAACTGATACAAGTAACCAAAACCAATGAAGCATACAATAAAGATAAATATGATCTGTGTATAAAGGGCTGCAATTATTCTTAGATCCTTAACTACATACCATTTTATTTTTGCAGGACAATTTGCAGCTGATAAAATTGCTTAAGATGAATCATTTGAACATGCTATATGAATATACGTCACTAAGTAGTATTGCCTGGTTGGCACTTCTATACCTCCTTAGACACATCGTTTTTACAACCAACTATTTAGTAACAGTTGGCTAATACAGTGTTGTCTGAACTTGTTACAAAACTGAATTAAAAGAATTTAAGCAAACGATACTAGTATGTAATAGTTACCGAAGACAAGCTCTACGCAAATGTACGATTTATTATCCATAATCAATTATGCAAAAAACTTTGTATATAAGATTTCACCGCGGGCATACAATATAAAAAAAGTCATTAAAACAAACAAAATACATGTTTGTCCTTCCATCAGGAAATATGTTTGAAGAACCAAATGTATCTTAAGTCATTGAAGTATAACATGTGACAAAAGACATGTATGATACCGAATAAATTCGTGTTTAGAATAAACATCAATAGGCACTTATTCGATCTTCAGATTGAAAAGCTTTGATCTTCGAGCCTAAATTAAACGTACAAATTGAAGTTTAAAATAAAAATTTAAAAGTTCTTAGTGTCTGTTATTGTAAACGTAACGATGTTTGTCGCTTTCAATTTTCGCAACTGATACAAGTCATTTACTCTCCTGGTAATATTGCTTGGCTAAGCTTAAGATACTTTCGAATTCGCTATGACTTTATTCAGTTTTGGAATTGATGTAGAGTTTTATAGAACACATGATAATTGTGAAACTTCCTATTCTAGAAGTGGCGTTAATCAGATGTAGATACTAAAAAAATCCAAAGATCTTTTAGAGTACATACAATCTATGACTCTCTCATCTTGCAATAGTATTAAAACATTTGACTTTTCTACACTTTACACAAGTATTCCCCAGTTAAAACTAAAAGAAAAATTGAAAGAGTTGGTATTGCTTTGTTTTATAAAAAAGTATGGCGAACGTAGATACATGTATCTTGTCTTGGGGAGGGATAAATCCTACTTTGTAAAGAATCAATCTGATTCAAACAAAAAATTCTCTGAAACTGACATTATCAAGATGCTTGATTTCTTGATTGACAACATATTTGTTACGTTTGGAGGACGTGTTTTTCAACAGACTGTCGGCATTCTAATGGGAATCAATTGTGCCCCTCTTCTTGCCGACTTGTTTCTTTATTATAATGAGGCTGACTTTATACGGGAAGAAAGATAAGAAGTTAGGAATATCCTTTAACTTTACTTTCCGCTATATAGATGATGTTCTCTCTCTAATTCAAAATTTGGTGACTATGTTGAACGCATCTATCCCATCGAACTAGAGATAAAGGATACAACAGATACAGTTAAGTCTGCCTCATATCTTGACTTACATATAGAAATTGACAATGAGGGTCGGTTGAAAACAAAACTTTACGACAAAAAAGATGATTCCACGTTCCCTATTGTGAACTTTCCATTTCTATGTAGCAACATTCCAGCAGCGCATGCATACGGAGTATATATCTCCCAATTGATACGATATTCCCGGGCTTGATTTCCATGATAAAGGGTTGCTGCTCACAAGAAAGCTATTAAACCAAGAGTTCCAAATGGTGCAGTTGAAATCATCCCTTTGTAAATTTTACGGACGCCATCACGAGTTGGTTGACCGTTATGGAATAACCGTTTCACAGATGATATCGGATATGTTCCTTATGTCGTAATTACAATCCACTTCCTTTTTCACCACGAATGTGACTTACCGAAATAGACTATTTACTAGATTTGTAATAACATGAGCAACACGACGGGTGCCACATGTGGAGCAGGATCTGCTTACCCTTCCGAAGCACCTGAGATCACCCTCAGTTGTTGGTTGAGTTCGTGTTGCTTAGTCTTTAGTTTTCTATGTTGTGTCTTGTGAACTAATATTTGTCTGTTTGTCTTTTTATTTTTTAGCCATGGCGTTGTCAGTTTATTTTCGATCTATGAGTTTGATTGTCCCTCTGGTATCTTTCTCCCCTCTTTTCAGACCTATAGTGTTCTTTCATGTGCAGAGATGGGTCCGATTACTTTCAATGTAATTGATTAGATTACAATTACTTTGTCAATTGTAAGATTAAATTAAATCAATGATTACATCATTTTTCAAAGTAGCTGATTAAATAATGATTACATTGGCAAGTAATCATGATTACATCTGATTAAAATGAATTTAAAAAAAATATATTTGAATGATGTTAATATATAAAGATTATAACTGTATCATGTTTTGAGAACGGATTTTATTTGAAAAAAAAAATCTACACTAGGAAATGCCTGTACTAAGCGAAGAATATGACTGTTGTTATCCATTCTATTTATTTGTATGTTTTTTTTACTTTCCAGTTTTAATTTTCAATTGAGTACAGTATTTTGCTATTTTTTTCTTTTTGGTTTGTTATTAAATCATAACTTCAAAATTTATCGATTTAATATACCAGAAAGATTCACAACGTATATACATGAACAATTTGTCACTGGTTATAGCCCTTTACACTTTACCATTATTTAATTATTAACCTTTGAAATATTCTGACTTTGATTGAATTGAATAAAGGTTTGTAAAGAGGCTTGGTTATTGTTTTTCTGACATTTTTGTATCTATTTCAGTTATCAGTCATAAACATATCAAACATTGTAATAGTATTGCGAATAATTATTGCATTTTACATGTGATTTTATATACACATATTTGTTTATTTCAAACAACATATTTTTCACATGAATCAACTAAGTCTTAACTTTACTAGCATGAATTATTTACGATAAAAACCTATGTTCAATAAAATACTTATTCATCGAAAAAAACTTTTTTTATATAAATATAGAATGTTAAGCCTTTCACCATGTTCACTCCAAATCTGAATTACATATATATACATATCAGAAATGTAGATTTTTGAATCCTATAAGTTTGTTATAAATATTATTCATATTTCTTTTGGTTTATTCAATAAAAATTAAAATCATGGTCTTGATTGTCCACTATCACCTCTAATAAATTAAACATATTATAATAATAATCCTTAAATTTCTCAACTTGGCTATGCTCAAAGTCATAATAATGTGTCCAGTTAAGGCGAAACACTGTCATATTTTGTAATATCACGTTTAAAAACCGGCTCCGCGTCGTGTCGGTCTAGTTCAAAGCAGGGTTTATTTTCAAAAACATTATTATTTATTTTGCCACTGGACGATAAACAGCAACCCATTTATCCATCAAAATCAAAATACATTAAAAGGTCAAGAGACTGTCTTTGAAAATAGCAAACAATTTCCAAACTTTCGGTTAACTACAGTCCAGAAAGTTGTTAATGAACTTACAGATTATCGATGATCTGCCTGTATCATCCAATATTCAAAAGAAAACAATTACATTAAGATGTACATTAGAACAGAAACGGAAGATACCAAAGAAAGATCAAAATT